TTTGATTTGCGATTGTTTACATACCAAGTGTATACGATAAAAAAAATTAAATTATTTTTATTTTTTGCATAAAATCGTAACATGCAGCAAATTAAAGTGAAAATTAAAATTGAAATATTTGTTACCTGTGAATATAATCGAATAAATCTTGGTATAAATGATGAATGTCCATCCGCGTATCCATGTCGCGCGAATAATAATTTCGTGACATTGATCGAGTTAGTCCAAAATTAAACAGTCACAATAAATGAAACGAATGTCACAGCATTTTATTGTCGCGCAGTTTAATAGTTTTTGAAACATGTTGTCCGCACGGGGGTGAATTCAATTCGATTGATTAGTTGCATATTGATTCGGAAATGAAAAGGTATAAACATATAATTGATCTTGAACTACATATATGCATACATAAGTGAATTAAGTGGCAAGATGTGAAAAACCATCTGCAATACACTTCAGACGTCAGCCAGGAATAATTGAAACTTTTGTTTCGAATTAACGTATTAAATATTCAAGGTTTTCTGGTCGGAAAAAAATATAATTCAGAAACAAAGGGTTTTATTTGATGTTTTATGCTTTGTTAGTAATATGCGAGAACATGTGTAATGCATATTCTAATAAGTCGTAAACGTATAAATATTTTCTGCATCGATGCAATACGATCACGTAAAACATCGATTCTATTACGATTTTAGCGTTGTTGAAACGCCAAAATAACCCGTAACGTGTTTCCCTGAAAACCAAAACCACAACAATTTGATTTAAGCTTTTATTGGCAGTAAAAATATGCATTCTTAGTTGATTTGCAAAAATTACGCCGGGAATTGCATGAATAAAACCGTCGGAAAAACAAATACATTTTTAATTCGATTGCTGACAGATAATTGCTTGTTTTCGAGACTTCATGAACGAGATAATAACGCGAATGATCAAGAAGCACAACAGTTATGGCCGCTTTAATCGACTGTAAACGACAATTAGACGGAGAATTATTCGATGATGCAATAAATGTCGAATTTATAGTTTCGTAGAAAATTAGAGAATATAATCCGAAAATAGAATTGTGACAAGTGCGCGACTTGAAAGAGACAAACACTTCAAACAAAATCACGCGAAATAAAAAACGCTGGGTTTAACATCAATTTGTTTATTATTTATCCTTGACTACAACAAAATAGATCAAAGGAATAGAAGTTGAGCTAAATACAATTTCAGCGTTTCAAACGCGTTTGTTTTCTGACGTTTAACCTGAATAGAAATTTAAAAATTTGCTACGAAATAAAATTAATTTTCAAGGTTGTCATAAATTGCGTAATTTTTTATCAGAAAGGTTAATTAATTACAATTTATTAGTAAATTGCATTGTGGACTCAATTCTACTGGTGTCATTGATGTGGTTTTTTGGCCAAGGTTAGACTAATGCACTCATATTCACATTTTTTGAATACGTGAACATTAAAACTAGATTTTGTCAATACATAAACTCGAGGTTTCTAGTTTTTGCCCGATCGACATTTCAAAGTACAAATAACAACCAGTTTGGTATTTTTTGTCGGTGATTTTATTCATGCTTGGTTGAGAATAAAACGAAATAATCGCATGGCGTCAGATGTGACTCTTTAAATCTTGTCTTGTCCGTAATAAGAATGAGCGCATTAAGTCAGGTTGGGCCTGGCAATGCGTGCATAAAATATGCGTGAATTCGGCAATTTATTTTCGGTCTGCTGACCTTATAAACGAAACGCAACGCAGACGACGATTATGCAACGACGGCTCGGCCGAGTTTTACTTGGATTTCGCTTGTGTCGCGGGATGATCTCTACGCGAAAACGAAAACGCGTTTTGCGACTTTGTGACATACTTGCGACGATTTTCTTTTTTGCATGCAGCCAGACTTGATGCATGAATGATGACAGACTTATTACTTAAATTTATAGGAAAAAAAAACATGTCCTAATTTATTGCACTTCATTTTTTTTTCTATTGAGAACTGACCATGCTTAGTTAAATGTTAATCGTTTTTTCTCATCACACACACACATTCGGATTAACGAACTTCGTCTCGTTTCGATTGCGTTGCGTTTTCGGCTGGTGAAAGTGAATTTTTAGGTTAGTGTGCAACAATTTCGTGTGTATTACGTATACATCAATGAACTATGATTATAATATAAACAAATTTTACATTCGAGACAATATACAGGATATTTTTTAAATATTTATTGATAAAACAAACTTTGAATAAAGTACATGAATCGTTTTGTTTAATTTTCCGCAGCCGAATGTAAACATAAATATTTAATTTTTACATGCTACTTTATTATAGACAGAGAAAAAACGTAAGTAATGCAAGGCGGTTGTGCAGAGTCGTAAAACAAAGCAAAAAATAAACGCGAATGGAGTAATAACGCGTTTAATGCTGTAAAGACGTTCGAAAGAACATCAAGGCGAACACAAAAACACATACGAAATGTAAAAAAGAAAGGAAGAGTCAGTGTCGAATTAAATCCGAGACCGAGACCGAGACGTAACCGCGCATAACACACGTTGCTTCATTTTTTTTTGAGTCCAAATACACAACATACGTGTATGTATAAAAATAAAAACAGTTGTTTCAATTTTATATCATAACTTTTCCTCTGAGGACTTTAAATAGTTTATTTTAATACAATACGAGGAAAAAATTGTTTTATTCTAATCTTATTGTTTGTTGGTAATCTTGGAACGGATGGACGGATGTGAAAAGTTTAGATTATGTTTATTTTATGTTTTCCGTTGAACTGCACGAGTTTTATTCAAAAAAAAGTACGCCAAACTTTCTTATGTTGAATACACATAAAAAAGACGAGAAAGTAATGAACAGTTTCAACAAGTCTCGATTTTCGTGTGTTGTAGTCAATTAAAAAACGTAACATTATGGTTTTGAGAATGCTAGATGGCGTTAAAGTAGTCAAATAGCCAGATGCAGAGGTATTATTGGCTAAACAATTTCTTTATTTTATTTTAAAAATAATTTTTTTTATTAAATAAAAAGTAGCCTATAACCATTCGGGAACCACTAAGAGTATGTGTACAAATTTTCATGATGATCGGTTAAGTAGTTCTTGCATGAAAGTGTAACAAACATCAGGACTTTCGCATTTATTATATTAGTAGGGATGTATAATAATGTTGGATCATGCAAAGTGCATGCACGTGTTGCATACACTGGCTATTTATTTCTACAGTCAGTTCGAAATTAATTTCAAATATCGAAGCGATTAATATTTTATGATCTGTGTTGATATACATTAGCATAAATTATAAATTCATTAAAAATAGCAATATTAATCATAGACATTCCATACTCATTAGCAATCGTTGTTATTTTTAAACTTGTAGCTATCATTTTGTATATTTTGAAATGGATTCGACATTTGTAGAGTTTACAATTTGATATTTAACACACTAGGTGAGATTAGAGTTTATGTGCATGCATTAGTTGGTATTAGTGCGCATTATCGTCTCATTTCAATCGTTGAAATGCACGGCAAGAGTCGTCAAGCCGAGCGTGCATAATGAGCTCGGTAATTTAATCTCGTTTTAAATAATGCGATCGGCGTGCAATTGAAATCGCTGCCAGCGAAAAGCAATTCTTCGCGATACATATGCAGTGGCTGTGATTGTGCGCACGGCAATTTACGTGATTGTCATTCCATGCGCTTATCGCTTTTATCGCGCGAGTATTTACCATTTAACTTCGCATTCCGCGTGTCTTCTTTATTGATATCATCGACGCTAATTGTTCTAATTGATTATTACTACGTAAAAAAACATTTAATGCAGGCAACCAGGATGTCATTTAATTTTAGATTTGTTATATTGGTTGCATATATATCTTGAAATAATTAAAAATATTTAACGAAAATATTTGCTCAGGAGATGATAATGACATCAATGAGGAAGTCGAATGGTTTCATTATAAACGCAATAAACGTGCTAATTTATTCAAATTAGGAATATATTTAAATACAGCCGTTCATGGAGATTATAGTCATTTGCCTGACTTATAATAAATATATTTCGTTGGACACCAATCAGTTTTTTGTTGTCATTTTGTGAGAAAAAGAAAACTTCGATTTACTCGCGATCTAATCTTTTACCAATCTGATAATTACAATATTATAATCACGAGTGCGAGTTAAGTGCGAAAGTGCACTGCACAACGCATCATTAACATCGTAATAACATTTCTGCAGCCGATAATAATAACCACTCGGCGTCTAATTGCAGGCGAAGCGAAGGAGCGTTATCAATAATGACATTGCGCTAATTTATGCATTTAATTTCAATTTCGTATAAATTTTCATCTAGTTTTTTTCATGAACATATTACGTAGTTAAGGGGTGGAATAAATAATTTATACAGGGACGGCTTTAATTATATAAAGTGTATAAAGTACTTTAGTCACGACTTTGGCCATCTGTATTTAAAGTACTACTTTTTGTGCATCAAAATCAGCGATTTATAGATGAAAATAGAAAAAATTATTTAAAATTTTACTAAATTTTTTAATGTGTGATATTTAGTGCGGATCTGATTGAATGTTTGAAAACTAACGAAAAGCGCGCGACATGAGTGCAAACGTACAACAACAATTTGCATTTTGAGCGCGCGGTGTGCGAAATATGCGCATTTATTTCTATTTTTATTTCGATCGCTATTTATAGCAAATCCAATTTAATGCGACACGCGGCCGTAAAGTCGACGGCGCATTCTCAACCCCAGCGCACAGCGTCCCTGCAAATAGTGTTTATTAAATTTACACGCGCGTATTGTGCGACTCTGGACCAAACAGCTCGCTTTACATCGAAATGATCGCGATAAATATTCAACTCGCTTATTATTTATTCTATTTGTTACTAATATTGTTACACATGCGCACCTATTTGTGATTTTATTAAGTCTAATAAAATTTAATGAATTACCTGCGTTTATTCTAACAATATATTTTATTGTTACAGGTTTTCAACAGGATGATTCCACTTTTAAACTAAGCACTAGAAATATTTTAATAAACAATGTATCAAAATTGTGTAAAGTTGCTGTACGCATTGGCGTTGTTAACGTTGTGCGTGATAAACATAAACTGTTGGAATGATAGTGCCAGCAGTGCTCACCAGAGGACGCGCAGTCGGCCGAAACTGCAACCCAACCAACAGTATCAGTCACGCAACAAACCCAACATTGTTTTGATTTTAACTGATGATCAGGATGTGGAGCTGGGATCGTTGAATTTCATGCCTAAGACTTTGAAGTCGATCAGGGCGCATGGCGCTGAATTTCGGCATGCGTATGTGACAACACCGATGTGTTGCCCGTCGAGGTCTTCTCTGCTAACCGGGATGTACGTGCATAATCATCAGGTTTTCACCAACAATGACAACTGCTCGAGTACCAACTGGCAGGCAACCCACGAAACACGTTCCTTTGCTACGTATTTATCCAACGCTGGATATAGAACTGGTGAGTAGCAAGTAAAACATAACCCTAAACTAGTATTTTTAAACACGTCTATAAAAACAAATAGATTCACTTCAAAGTGAATTCCTCTACGCGCTTGTGTCGATTAAAACCTCGTTAACTCGCTGAAGGGAAAAAGCGCGTAAAGTACCATCTGTAATTGAACGTTTTCGACGTAACAAACACTTTTACACGCATCCGAAATTCCTGCGGTTCTTGCCTTAATCAAGCGTCGATCTCGATGTTTTCTTCACCGGCACTGGAATAGAATCGTAACTTTTTAACTCCGGCGTCTTGTGTGTTTATTTGCGTGCGTTCTGCGTGGTTTGATGTTTTTTGATGTGAAGATGATGCTGGAGCACTTCGGGAGTGTGAAGCCCACAATCGTAAAAACCGTGGAATCACACACAGCCCACATGGCTGCATTCATCTTCTTCATCTTTTTGCTTGTGTTCTTCACTCGCCCACCTACGCTATCATTATCATGCTTCATATTAATGTCGACGCGTGTTGAATGGAGAAACAAATAGATGAATGAACGTACGCTTGAGTGGACAAATGAATGAATGAAACTCGAGCCAGAGACGAAAGTTTAAGCCGAAAACTCGATTCATTCATTAGCTTGAGTTGAAGTTGGTGTTGCCAACGGTACCTGGATAATTAAAATCAACAACAACAACAGCGGAGATTTCTATGAGTATTTCTATACGCCAACAGTGATTGAACTGACACATTTTAGGAGTGAACTACTTAGTGGAGTTTTAAGAGTTTTAATTGACTAGTAATTTAGTTGGACTTCCTTTAATGGTTCTCGCTTAATTACTAATATGGTATATGACCAAGACCATACTTGGTCTCCGGATTATCACGGTGCCCAAATTTGTTTACGCAATGAATGCGAGAGAATTAAAATTCATTTTTACGAGTATGCTCGTTGCTCGTTTGAATTATGCTTGTTATGCTTGTTTTCTTTGTGTCGCGAGTGGGCAGATAGTTGGCTTATTTAGGACGTCGCCTAGTGGTGCTCAATTCAACCCAGTTTTCCGGCTGCGGCTCAGAAAGGTTTCCCATGTTTCGTGCGTATCTTCAAATCCATAATGATACACTCAACGACGTTCAAGGTACTTTTAGTCGGAATTTTCACCTGCACTTTACTCAATTGCATAGTTTTACGTTGGTAATATTTTTAATTTTAAACAAAATTTAGTATTTTGGTTTAAAAAATATTTTTTTTTACTTTTATCGCTAGTTTTTTCATGGTTTTGAGACATAAAAAGTGGTACTTTACACACAGACGTGACTAAAGTACATTAATCACGGGTTTTAGTCACGGGGAGGAGATTTTTTAAAGAAAATTAACTAAAACTAAATTATTATGATTATTTTATTACATTGTATTTTTCCCGAAAGGAAATGCATTGTAATAAATTAAGTTTTTGTTTTTCTTCATGTGTAGCAAGCAGGTGCATCGCCTAAATTAATTTTCAAGTACGCCTCCTTTGTACACATACGCGTAGATTTGACTATAATTCACCATTGCTCATACACCTACTTCCGAACATCCCAACCTTTTGTTAGCAGACTTGCTGCTACCTTGCGTTCACTACGAGAAAACTTTACGATTCACCTTAAAACCTCTCGAATAGTTAGCATAGATTTATGCGTCGTTATGCAACAAAGCGCGACGTTATTAAACATTTATAAACGTCGCGTTTATGGCGCAATGAAAATCGGCATAAATAATCACGACAACGTCGTCGTCGTCGTCGTCGTGTGCATCCTCGTTCTCAACCTACTCAACCTACCGCTCTCTTCTTTTTGTTGTAGGCAGCGCGGCGGATGCAACAAGAAGCATCGCATGTTATTAAATTCTATTTTACATGTTTTAACTTATTTTCATTGTGTAGTAGTTGAAGTATGGCACGAGTGCCGCGCACGTGGTTCAGGCCTATACCTGTAAGTTGATACTTTTTCCTTGAAAAGTTTTAATCAAAACTCAAATGTACCGAGAATGGCAGCGGCAGTGCGGCTGAGAACGCAAATGAGGATGGTAATAAAAGAAACGTCAAGTTGTTCTTGGAAAATGAAATTAAAGTGTGGACGCTGTGTGTGGACGGCGATCGGAATTTTATTAAGCTGTCAATCACGCAAATAATAAATCTTTTCAATGCACTCGAATTTCAATTATTTATACAGAAAAGCACTTATGTTACTTTCGCGGTAAGTAAACAGTATTAGATTTCATATTTTCACATAATTCTAGTGACAAATTATTTGGAAACATCCTGTATATCCCGTCTGGAAGTCTAAATTTTAACTTAGTATTCAAAATTTTATAGTTTTCTACTTGTTTTCTATGCCTCTCACTTTAAGTATTTCACCAAAACACGCGGTAAAGAACACTCTGTATCTTGAGATTGAAGCGTCTCTTCTTAACTATCTCTTCAACATCTTATAGGAGAAGAGTTGTTCTTTCATTTGCTGTGCAATACACTTTAAAAAATAACCTAGAACAGTCCCCAAAATGTAACCAAACTTTTTAATATTTAAATCTTTTTTAAGAAAATGTCATTAACATGCTGCGGAAAACACTCTGTATCTTTTGATTAAGTTGTCCAATCTTTAATTTTTTTTAATAATCTATTAAGGGAAAGTTGTGCTTTTGTATGATATATTTTTCATTTTTCTGAAGAGCTTAGAACTACTCGAAAAATGCTATCAAACTTTGACAATTTTTTCCATTTCAAAATCACGTTTTGTTAGTTGTACAACATGGAACAGCAACTTTTACAGTATTCAGTAACAAGTATGCACGTTTTCGTAAATTATATTGTTCTGCTCGATGCGTGCAGTTATTGTCCTTTTGAACTCGCATTTGCATTAACATTAAACATTGCGTTGCGCTTACATACGTTGATTTCTCCGTTGAATTTTTGAGAGGTACGAAAGCGTATTTCTCATTTATTATGCGATATTTGAACATAAGACGTGTTGAACTTTCCTCTGTTATAAAGACTGTTTTATTCCAATCATGGTAAAATAATTATAAACAATTATGTCCCTGAACATGTGCACTGAAACAAAAATTCAAGTAGGTCACATAATTTAAATGTCCGGGTTTCTGACAAAAAAAAACTGTGATTACATCGTTAATTGTTGTCATAATACTAATATTTCTTTGGTTTTAGTTTCTTAGAAATCTGAATACTAGTCAAACCATTTGTTTGCTTTTGTTTCCAGCCTTAATACGATAATTTTTCATCACGTGCCCGCGTTTTCAAGTTCAAGTAGTGCTTTTTGCGGCAAGAAACGCCTCGCGGCTGAATTGCAATTAACCCATTATCCTCACGATATAATAACATTTCGGATTCTTGTACTCGATGTCTCGGCTGACTCATTCGCATCTGCAATTTGCGCACAAACGACAATCCGCAGCCATACATAGTCATACGCTGGTAATGTTAGAATAATAATCATACTCGAAAAAGAATCGCATCACATCAACAGATAGTTATTTTGATTTGGGCATTAAAAAATATATAATAAGAGTAGATGAGTTACTGGCGGCGAGTGGCCATCGCGTGGGTAATCTCCTCGCGAGCAAGAAACATAAATAAATGAACGCACAGATTCCGAGATGCTTGGACTCTGGCAATAATAATGCATGGAAAAAACTCTCTAGTAGCAGCGGCAAATTATACGCGCGTGTTGAAGGCGGTTTTGTTATGAAATCATGCACTACTGTTATTTCTCGAAGCATAATATTTTCGTGTTTTGCGTCGCGAATAATTCAAAGAAATAAAAGCAAAATGAGAAGATATAGGTTTTAACATTATAAAACTTCATATAACGGCGAAATTTCTATCACTTTGTTGATTTATATTAATTTTCTCTGTGTAACGACAGAGAAATATTTTTATTTCTCACAGATTATGACCTAGAATTTTTTTTAAAGACATGACATCGATGGTAACATTTGAAATATTGTTGGAATTATGATCCCAACATCACTACAAATTGCAATGCAAATTTCTGTAACTTAAGCACGATTTTTCAGCTAATTTGTTGGGGTACACGTTGCGTTACAACAAAATCATTTAAGCAATACACAAGTGAATACAACTGAGCGACGCGGAATTCATATTTAGACTTCAAGAAATATTTACCGGCATTTTTACAAGAATAATTAACAAAGAGTAAACAAATACCAACCAGCGTAAATTCCCAATTTTGGTTATTTTTTGTTTGTTTTTCGATGTAACGTGGTGTATTTGCAGTTTGGTATTTAATGGCTCTTCTCGTTGAGTAATCAAGCTCACATTGCAATTCATTTCCTGGCAAACATCGTTTAGCATAATTTATCATAGGTATGAAATAATACCACAGTGTTTTCGTTTCGTTTGCGTTGGTAGTGTTGTCCGCACTGGCCATACCCAAATCCATCACATGTGTAACAATAACTCCCATTGTTATCTGCTTTTTTCTCTAATTATTAACAATAAAAAGCCAATAAAATGCTCTCGCCACGCATGGCTCGGCGCGTCATTATTCAAATTATGTTGAATAGCGTCTGCGCGCCGCTAGACATCGCGTCGGCTCGCGCTAATAGATCGCGTTCGTTTGTGTAATTTAATGAAAGTCAAAAAGAAGCGAACGTGGGCCACAGAGGAAATCGTCGTCGGATGTCTCGTGCGACACCTACGCGCATGTAAATCGCCATGTAACTGGCAGCGCAGGCGAAAGATGATGTGAGCATTTGCCTAATTGCCTGCTCCACAAGAACATTTTATTTAATTTGTATTTATTGATACTGCAAAAACTTCCCCGACATTTCTTAAGTGTGAAAATTAATATTACATCATTAAAATACCAAGTAATACGCTCTGAATCATTCCCAACAGTTCAACACTCTGTTTTAAGTGTATTATGATTATTATGCACTTGTCATTTCTTGCGCATGCGCATTGTGCACTTTGCGCCCATTTAAACAAATTGAAAACCTCTCAACAATTTGCAATCTACGAGTGAAGAGAAGCGTATTTATTTATAACGATCGCACTAATCATAACTATGTAATATACGACCGATCATGATGCTGTTCATGGTCCTCTCGCAGTCGAGGACCAACGATCGCGAATTATGTGCGTCGTCGCGCAGATCATTGGAGCATAATCCATTTAACATTCCTCCACTCGAAGAGCATGTGCACATAATGCGAACATACTCTCCGAATAACATCTGATATATGCGCGACTTTTTTTCTGTAATCAAAAGCGGACCGCAAACGCGCCGAACAAAACGAACAACAAATGCGCACGCAACTCGTATAGCAACAATGTATTATAAAAAGATGCAAAACGAGTCCGGCCGGCGACGTCCTTCTCGGTCCCGAGTGTGAGAACTGTAACGGACTTTGATATTCACTCGTGAGAACATACTTTCGGCGATTTTATCCGATTCGACAACTAATTATTTACAATAAACATAAAATAAGAGAAAGTCCATTTAATCTATAGGCAACTTTATTAACATACATATTACATTTTCAGTTGTAGGTATATTTAAAGTGGTGATTGTTTTGTTGCAGGTTTTTTTGGTAAATACTTAAACAAATACAACGGTTCATACATCCCGCCTGGTTGGCGAGAATGGGGCGGGCTGATCATGAACTCGAAGTACTACAATTATTCGATCAACATGAACGGCAAGAAGATCAAACACGGCGCCGAGTACACTAAGGTAGGCAACGTTTATTAACCTTATGCAACCCAATACACACACTTTTTTAATGCGTTTGTTAATTTTAACTTCTTCCTGCTTGATAGCTACCCATGTTATATTCTAGTCATTATCATCATCAAAATTATTACACTCTAATGGCAATAATGGCAATGACTCGGTATATAAATATATTGCCATGCATGTTCTTCGTCCATTACGAGATTATTACATTTATTACGTACGTTGAATTTATAGCTGAAGAGGCTCACCTTTAACTTTTGCCAAAGGTTTAAAGGAGTGTATCATCAACCTTACCTGCGTTGATTCTCAAAATATATAAATCTGCATCGCGAAATGTCTGAAATACCTTAAAAATTAAGATTAATTTTCCTCGAATGTTTTGTCATGTTAAATTAACGAAAATAGAAAAATGTTTAATGTTTTCTGTTCACGCGATTGAGATTTAGCAATGAAATATAGATAGAGTTGGTAAGTCACGACAGGATTTTTATCACCTTAACACTCCACTCCTCGGTTTGAAGGATGACCTCACGGTTTCATTATTTTCTTCCTGGGAACGTGTGTCTTCTTGGTATGCATGACATTAACCATTGATTTTTAAAGCGACGTCTTGCCTCGCATTGCTGCGCGTCGTTAGTCGTCTCATATTGTCACTAGTTACGTTGATAAGTGACCACCTTATATCACGGGGTTGAGACAACCGGATGTCGTTTCGTATTGGTATCTGTGCGCACCTGAGAAGTGTCGCGGCGTTAATTGCTGCTGGACACGAAACTTCCTTCATCTTCAACTATTTCGCGTCGGGAATTTTAGTCGGAAGGAAGGTGGAAAATTGCGTGTTGCGTCAAAACTAATTGTTTTGCATTCGAGCGCCCCCTGGTGCGTCATGGTCATATCTCAAACCGGGGTTGATGGCGGCGATTAAACTTTCGACGTCCGGGCGCATGTGGCTGGGCGTTTCGTTTAATTGTCCACGTTTAAGTTCACTCAACATCCATTTTCATTGGTTAACCACTAGCGATGCGATGCACATTCGTTTTAATAAAGTTTAATGCGTATTATCAATTTGTGCAAATGACGAAATCGCGTACACAATTAAGCGTTAAACTTCACTCAGTTTAATGTCCACTTTAATGCGTTGCAACACTTTAACTGTCATTTTAATAGAATTACGAGGAATTTACTTGATTAATAATGTGAAAAACTCAAGTTTATTTTGTTTACTAAACACCTCGTAGTGTGAACTGCAATTTCTAAGCATCTGCCATGAGTGGCAGTGACTAATTTCTTATTTCGTCGAAACTAGAAGACTATTTCATTTAGTTGCAATTCCCTGCAATTGCAAGAAGTAACCGTGCAGAGCGCATCTTCTTTGACGTCGAGGAATTTCAATAAACTCGCAATCGTTTATTATTTAGCGCGAAATTGCGAGGCCAGCGCGATTCGTAAATAAAACCCGTAGGTCGTATTGCATAATTAATAACATAATATAATTATCAGCTATAAGAGACGGGTAATGTGTACGCTCGCGTAATTGCGAGCGAACGATCGTAAAAACTTAACGATACCGGCCCGTCGGGGCTGCGGTTTGAAATTTTCATTTTCTTGCCTTTCCTTTATCCCACAACCTCCAGCAAAACCACGTTTAAGTGCACCAACCTGCAAAAATCTAAGAGTACGCGATGCTGCGCTCGAATCTACTAGTAGATGATAGAGAGGCCCGCTTGTAATTATAGCATTTTATGCATTGTGTGCGCGCTTTGAGCTCTAATGGTTAATGAATCCTTAAAATAGAAGTTAATTAACATTGGAACTATTCGAGCGTCGGAAGTCGGTGCTTGGTACTCTGCGGATCCGCGCATTATCGCTCTTTGCTTGCACATTCGCTTGAATGACGGCGGCGCACGCTAATTGAAATAAAATTTCGCAGGTTGCGCTCGCACCTTTTCCTCCTCTTCTCAACCCTTTCAATTTACACACAGTTTGAGATGTGGCACATCGAAGATCTAATTTAATGATAAGCGCGACTATTTTAACTTTGCACGCCGGATTGATTTCGATTTTCTTCGTGCTATATTTAGATTAATTCAATTTCAGGATATTAAATATTCGCTTATTTCCGGCGGCGAATATTTGATTTTAAAATAAAAATCGTTTTTGTTTGCAGGATTACTATACGGATCTTATTGCGAACGACTCGATCGCCTTTCTTCGACAATCGAAAAAAAACAATGTGAACAAACCAGTCATGTTGACAATGTCTTTCCCAGCGCCACACGGACCGGAAGATTCAGCGCCACAATATTCGCATCTCTTCTTTAACGTCACCACGCATCAGTAAGTTGAAAGATTGCAGTAACTTTTCTTTCTTTCTGTTTTTTACGTTTTTTGTTTGTCGATTACAATGCTTCCTGTTGGTTTTTATCTCAAATGAATTTGACAACAATAACAATCATACTATGATGATAAAAACGCAATCTATAAGAATTTAAGTCGTGTCTAGACGCAGTTATTTTCTTTTAATAGCTATACTTTTTCGGTAAACGACCTTCCTATTATAGATTACATAAAATTTTTGGTGGAGGCGCCAGTTTCAAATTTTTGTTGATAATTTTACTTTATTGAAATTCCGAAAAGCATATTTGTTAAATATTCAACCCTTGTACGTTATATTTACTTCCTGAAAGGCTTTCACACGAGTTTTTCGATTTTTCCTCACGCCGCTGGAGTCTATTATCGGAAAAAGCTTTTAAAATAAAATACCACGGACTTTGCTTCCCCACGCAAAAAGTCGCGCATCAGCGGCCGAAAAAACGCGAGCAAAAGAAGGCTGCAAATGTTTTTCGTTAGAGACATTATATAAACTTTGCTTTTTTTGCAAACTTTTCGCATCCGTGTTCGATCGCGCGCTGTACTTTACTCACGCCTCGCCTCGTAAAGTCCCTAATGAAATACAAATTTAGCTGGAATTAAGCCGAATTCAGTCAACCCCATACAAATAAATTGTATGCCACAATCGTACTCGTTTAAATTATGTTAAGTGTCACATCGTAAACTGTGGCATTCCTACGGATTCGCAACAACAATCATCGATTGTGTTTCGGTGCGGACTTTGATGATTCTTATTGTTGGCATTGTTGCGTGTCGCTAATGGCGGTTATTTGTTCTCTGCTCCAGCACGCCGTCATACGACTATGCGCCAAATCTGGATAAACAATGGATACTTCAGGTGACGAACAAGATGAAGCCGATACACAGGGAGTTCACCGATTTGCTAATGACCAAGCGATTGCAAACGCTGCAATCTGTCGATGCGGCCGTCCAGCGCGTCGTTCAAGAGCTGGATGTGCTCGGGGAATTGCGCAACACTTACATCGTTTACACGTCGGACCATGGATACCATCTAGGGCAATTCGGTCTGATTAAAGTGAGTAAACTACATTTTACTGTATCAAAATTTATGCGGTTGGCAAAAACTTTGCTGGAATGTGACTTTTTATAGGGGAAAAGTTTTCCTTTTGAATTCGACGTCCGTGTGCCGTTCCTGGTACGGGGTCCCGGTGTGGAAGCTGGCTCTGTTGTCGACGACATTGTGCTGAACATAGATCTAGCGCCGACGTTTTTGGACATTGCCGGCGTTGAACAGCCGGCGCACATGGACGGACGCTCGGTGCTTCCGCTTTTCCTGAACACGAAGCGCAAACGAGTCAAATGGGCCGACACGTTCCTCATTGAAAGCTCGGGCCGGCGCGAAGTCCACGACTCGGCGCACAAGTATTCGTTCGCGGCGAATATGATGAATGCGTCCACGAGCGTGCCGCGCGGCACTGAGCTTTTTACGACGGAAACTCCGGGCGGTTATTCTCCCGCAATGAGTGCCAGTTCCAGCACGGCGAACGCAGCCACGACGCCGAAGGATATTTACGATCCCGACGCGGATCGCACTTCGGGCGAAAGCGATGCGGAGCTGGATAACGAAGATGACGACGATGCGCTGGATGCAAATGAGGATGGGAGCGAGCAGGAGGAGGCGCAGCAATTGGACAATCAACTGCTGCCTGTCCCCAGGCTTCCGTCGATGCCAAAGTCGCAGCGTTTGGAAATAGAATGCATCCAGCAGAATTGGCAGCAGCCATGCAAGATGGGGCAGAAGTGGTATTGTCAATTGGAGCATGGCCGGTGGCGGAAACACAAATGCAAATTGCAATCGGGTGTTTCGAAGAAATGCGCGTGTCTTACTAAAATGGGGATTGTCTACAGAACAATGCCGGTGAGTTATAAGAATTAAATCATCAATCAAATCTATTTGACATCTTTTTTGGTTTTTATTTTCGCAGAGTTTTGGTACGCAAGGAAAGCGAAGTGGTGCTCTACGAATGCGGAACAAGCGTGATGTAGAGGCACCTGAGCTAGAGGAAATCTTATTCGGTATGCTCGACGAGTTCAAGATTCATCGGCTGACGCACCGTGACAAACGAGATACGCTCAGTCACGTGGAAAACGTGATGGAGAACATCCAGTCGAAGCTCAGTGGCCTGGAGGCCGTCAATGCCTCCCTGCCTGAGGAGCAATCGATAAAAATCAACTTGGACACTAACAAGATCTCCGAAACTATCCCCGGATGCGAGCTTATGCCGGACGGGCACATGAATTGCTCGACAGTGATCTTCCACGATCGCAAGTCCTGGCGCAAGTCGCGGGAACGCGTCGACAACGAAATACAAAAGTACAAACAACTACTGGAGAATCTGAAAGAAATTCGGCGCCATTTGAAACACACGAAGCCGATCACGGAAACGGATGAGTTGGGAAACACTACCGATCATACTGATTTGGTCACCGTGAACAATAACCTGCAGGTCGGACATTTTGATTCCCGTTTGGTTAATATTCCCGAGTATTCCACCGTCAAGTTTGACATTTTTGATGTGGGACAACGGAAACGTAAGAAGCATCCAGAGGCGGGTGAACAGCTACATCATAAAAAGCGTAAGAATCACCACTTGCTGCCAAATGCGACCAACGAATCAAGGCTTCCTACGTCCCATCATAATCATAGGCATCGACATCGCCTGCCACCTGCAAACACAACGCCATTTTCTACAACTGTTACCAGCACAACCAACGTCGTACAATCTTCAACATTCGATGATGATTACTTTAATTCATCAACTTCAACTGCTTCACAATCAGTCACACCATCTGCAAATCGTGATAACGAAGACAATTCAGCTACTTCTAGTACTACTGAAAGCCAGCCTATTGTCCCTGAAGTACTTACTACGACCACAAGCACAAGAAGACCACTAACGACCACTAGCCAACCAGAGGAGGACGATTACTGCTTGTGCGCCCCGGAAGATCAAGAAGAAGTTGAAAAAGATGATAGAGAAGTTGCGCGAGAAGCTCGCAGGCGACAGAAAGAGGAACGCATGAAAAAGAAGGCGCGGAAAATGCGCAAGAAAGCCCAGCTTGAGAAAGAATGTCTCACGGAGAAGATTCATTGTTTCCGGCATGACAACGACCATTGGCGCACGGCACCGCTGTGGACTTCCGGGCCTTTTTGCTTCTGCATGAACGCCAACAACAACACGTACAATTGCGTACGGACAATCAACGCCACGCATAATTTACTTTATTGTGAATTTGTCACTGGTTTCAAGACATTTTATAATTTAAGAATTGGTAAGACATAAATTTCTAAATCTTAAATCATATATGACTTAAAGTTAACATCCGCATATTATCAACTTGTAGATCCTTTCGAATTGACGAATCGTTTCGAGCAGTTACGTCCTGAAGAAAAGAGTTATCTGCATGATCAACTGATGGAACTGATGGCCTGCAAAGGAAGAAGTTGTACTGTTGGTTCGTTTCCGCAAAGATACAAAGTGAATGGCATGGCGCCATTTTTACCACAACCTCAACGAAGGCGTAAAGTTGAAGATTTTAATGGTAGGCACTTGAAGTAAAACAATATTGTGTATATCCTTGGGCGTATAATTGCTTTAGCCTCTAGTTGTCTGCTTGCATCCATTAATATTCTCATTGTATCTACGTACATAACATTTTCATTTCGTATTTAACACCTTGATCATTCTCATCTTGTGGAAATACTAACTCATTGTAATTTTTGTGTGTGTAAATTAGCGGCGAGAACTCTGCCATTGTCCACTCACAGGTCCTATAATGATCGTCACAGTAGACTAATTAAGATACCAAAGTGAGTATTGTTTAGGTCAATCATCAACCAGTTTTATTTTAAGTGTTTTTTAGTTGTATGTATCATAGGTGTTGGTATATTTAATTGTACGTATTTATTTGTATGAATAATTATAAAAGAATTATGATTGCAGATCCTGGCGTCGCAGACAATCGCGACCCTCGTGGCGCGATCGCAGAAAACGCGACCAGCTACTTAATGGCACAAACGGTGCGGCGCAATGGTAATCGATTCATCGCAAGAACTTAACGTTGCCATCGAGACGACAACGACTGACACGACTGAACAAAAGCAATTTATTTGTGATTCTACAATTGAGGAAGTTATGATTATGTTCATATCAATGTTCATAGAGTTCTTTTTTTGTTGAGGTGTACTAGCTAGGCACTAGTATTCGAACATATGAGATTACTGAATTCAATGAGTACGTTTTGGAAGTGTACAAATATCTATATGCAACAATGCTCTGAATTAAACAAATGTACTCGTAAAATGCTTCAAGCTTTAAGTGTTTTCTACAAGTGCAGTCAGCATGGAGGTCTAAACATTTGAATTCTCTGTATTTGTAGTGGTTATTTTGTTTTAAAATTCATATCTCAAGAAATGCTTCAGTGATAAACTTTGAAGCGTTTTGACTTGATCTCCAAGTTAACAATGTTGGTATTAATTACAATTAATTGCCCCACAAACAATAATCTTTTATTGTAACGCATTGATCATCCGGAGTACATACAGTTAATGTGATATTGTCTTGTAGTAGACGAACGTAGAATGCAATTGTGTTATCAGACACAATTGAATGGTCAAATGAATTATAATTATTCTAATTATTTTCTACTAATTTATCTTAATGTACAATTACGTATACATATAATGACTATTATGTCGATATAATTTATTTACGAACTACGAGCATCCTAAACTATAATCTTCAAATAAACATCTCTATGTTATAAGCTAGTATTATATTCCAACAAAGTTATGTCAATCAATAGTCGTGCTGTTTATAGATGTAAAGGATGTATATACTAATGGAATAGTTGGTGGTGCGATAAAATTAAGGAATCAAAAGAGGCTACACATGTTAGGGTACTTGATGATGAACTTGTGACAATGGCAAAAACATCAGATTGTGAACCAAAGAGAGTTTATTGTAAGATAATCAATTTAACATGTTAAGAACAGATTGTAATCGATGCGTAACGACTAGCGGTAGACATGTTTAGTAATCATTAAACGCAAATACCCATAAATCAAGATGCAATGACTAAAGTATTAATTGTATGATAAGGACAGTATACTGGTGCAGAATTATAGTGCCGTTTTCGACGCTTTTATTGGCTGCTTCTGACAAATATTATATTAAATAAACCTGCTGTAAACGAAACATGCAATGATATTACTTAATTCCCAATATCAAAAACCTATATCTCTACTTAGTTTGTTTCTGTATACTTTTAATAATATATATTGCTGGGTACTATCTGCATAATTCATAGATGTCACTAGCATGAACTAAAAATCATAAAATAGAATTGTATTGTTTATTTCTATATTTATCGGCAAACGTGAAAATTCAACACGAGAATTGTGTTTGTTTTGCACACAATATACACTTTCTTATCGCATTCCGGTGTATCGCCGTTGCCATCCCCTCACGCCGCACGTTGCCGCATCTTAGTTTCGTTTTTATCGCAGGTAACGTGCTAAATGCAATTCGCGCGCAAGGTCGCGTGCCGTCAACGCGCATTGCTTTTACTTTCTTATCATAAACTGTTGTTCGTTGCTTGTGGCCAGTTTCGTGCCGGTCTCTGTTGGGTCCAGACGTATACGACTGTAGCATTGTTATTGTCAGTGTGTATTGCATAAAAGGGTGACTTTTCACCCGATTTCGTGAAATGTTTGTATTTTTTCGGGATTACACGCGACCTCGGCGGTTCAGTAACTTCAGCGCGACGCCTAAAGATGCGGAATTATTAGGATTACCCATCCTACTGGCGTAAGTATCTTTTAACTTTTACATTGATTGAGTTACAGACAGTTTGTTTTTATTTTAATTTTTATATTCTGCGTTTGTGTATAAACAACTTTTTTGTGTTGCGTTGCAATCTCTTCATGCAGCATATTTTAGTTCAGTTTTGATGGCATGTATTGTGCATCGACGCGCCGGCTTTGCGCATCTCTTGCTTTCTTATCATAAACTGTCGTATCGTTGTTGTTGTTATATTTTGCACGACTTTTATAGTTTGTTCGAATTTGCATATATTTAGTACTGTCGCAAGTGGCTGTATAGTTTCTATGTGCATATGTGACAATACCTGGGGTATGTTCTTCAGTTGACTTTAATATGTAGCATGGATGGATTTGTTGTTGTTTGTTGCAAATTGTGCGCGATTTATTGCGGCGTGCGCGCAATATTACCGCGTGTTGGCGTGTGCCGCCTCTGATGCGCGATGTGTTCAGCGCAGTTTTGTGCCGATCGTTCGTTGGGTTGAACTTGTTTTTGCGGCTGTTATCTTGTGTTTTGAGTTTGTAATTAGGTAAATCGTGTTTATTTGATTGTATTTCATTATTACTGACGTGTTTATTGTTTTATTGGAAGATAATCGGGAATCGAATATACAAAACCGTTAATTTTCTGTGCGTTTTTTGTGCGTATTGCTTGATGACCGCGTGCTATCAACTTGTTTACACTGCACGGTCGCGAGATACAGGCAGCATGAAGCCCTCTTGCAATGCTTGTTGTGATATTATTTCGTTTAATTGCGGTAGATCTGTCGTGGTGTTCGGTATTTTGTTGGGGACAATGTTCTGCGTGGAAACCGAAAAAGAACGGTAAACGGTGCATAATTTCTATATTTATCGTTTCCGTGCAGTTAAATCGACTTTGCTTACGCCGGGTTAGAACGATATCTTGTCTTGTTATGGCTGCGAACATGCTTATCTCATCTTGTCTAGTATCCCTCTACTTAAATGTGATTTAATTTTAAATTCTCAGTTGGGTTGTATTTGATTGTGTGAATTTTTCACCCTTTCTCGTGAAATGTTTGTATTTTCTCGGGTTTACGCGCGATCAAGGCGGCTCACTAACTTCAGCGTGGTGTTTAGAGATGCTGAATGAAATTCTCCATCGGGTGGTATTTGTTAGCGGTAGAAGTGACTCGATTCAGGGCACCTTACGAGTATAGCGGTAAAAGTGACTCGTGTTCAGGGCACCGTAGGAACCCACAAAAATTCGCATTAAAGGGTGAATTTTTCACTCGTACTCGTGAAATGTTTGTATTTTTTCGGGTTTACATTGACCCCCAAAATTGCATTTTTATGTTCGAAGGCTTGATTTTTATGGTTTTTGAGTTTTGCATCTGAGTCTGATGGCATCAGTTTGTAAGTGTTAATTTCTTTATCATTTTCTAATTAACTCTTGTGAATATTTCACAAATTAACTGCATTTTTGTGTTCGAAAGACTAATTTTGCTTGTTTTTAGAGATTTTTTGCACTTAGTCTGACATCGTAGAAGGACCAATCTTGCATCAGATTGTAAGTATTTAATTTCTTTATCATTTCTTTGGTATCCTCACAAATTGACTAAAATTGCATTTATGTTCTGGACTGATTTTTATAGTTTTAAGTTTTGTGGTCTGATAGCTGGTAGAAGGGCTCATTCTTGCGTTTGTAGTATTTAATTTCTTTATCATTTACCTAAATAACTTTTGTAATTATCTCACAAATTGACCCCAAAATTGCATTTTTATGTTTCGAAGGCTTGATTTTTGCGGTTTAGGGATTTTGCATCAGGTCTGGTGTCGTGAAAGAACCATTCATCAGTTTGTAAGTATTTAATTTCTTTGTATTTCCTATTAACTCTTGTGATAAATTTCACAAATTAACATAAATTACATTTTTGTATTCGAAAGACTATTTTTGCTTGTTTTTAGGAGTTTACCTGAGTTTGACATCATTAGAAGCACATGTTCTTTGCATTAGTTGTAAGTATTTAATTTCTTTATGTTTCCACAATTCACTCTTGTGATTATCTCGCAAATTAACCATAAATTGCATTTTTGTGTTCAACAGACTAATTTTGCTTGTTTTGGGATTTTGCACCTGAGTCTGACATCGTAGAAGGGACATTCTTGCATCAGATTAAATTTCATTATCTTGTGCTTATGTGATTATTACTGTCTAAATGTATGCTTGTGTGTTTCTTTAATAAAGAATATTTTAAGTTTCTAATTATAATTATTTCTCTTATTTCTACCCGATCACTTATTTAACGATTCCTTAAAACCATTTATTTTGAAAAGTTACGTACTAGTGCCATCTATCGATTAGAAACAACCAAAAAGTTTTGAGCTTCGGTCCGTCACGCACAGAGGCAGCACAGCTTCTGGTGCCGCGAGCTTTATCAATCTCTCTTTCTGCGATCTAATATTCCATCTTTTATTTTGTCGACTTTGGAGGCAAAATGACACAAAAATTGGACTCAAGCAGTCGAAACTCAGTTTTGGTATTCGGATCGCAGAAAATTTGAAAGAGCGGTAAATAGTAATGGCGGGAAAAAGTATTGTTTAAAAATCTATTCAACATATTCGGTTTTCAAATTCTGAAGGGATCGACAACAAAAGACTAGAAAATTAAGAACTACATAATTTGATCAACAGAAAAATTCTACTACAAAAGGTGGCATCATTATTGAAAATCATCAAAAATAGCTTCAAAAAGAATTTTTTTTAAAAGAAAAGTTTTGTTATAAAAGAGCAAAGATATACTTTTATGATGAAAATTAAAATTAGAGGTGGCGTTAACTTTACCTATGTCCACTTTCTGCGTTCAATACGACAGACAGATGAGCAGCAACATTTCAGCAAGTTTTTCACCGACAAATTTTGTCAGGAAATCCGTGAAATTGGTGACAAAATTCTTTTGAATAATGGGATCACTTATGAAGTTGAGGAGGCAAAATCTCCAGCAATCTTGAATAGCGGGCGTAGTTTAGTTACTCGTGGATAGATGACACTACTGATACCGTTTTTAAATAAATATTGATACAATATAAAATTGATTTTGAACTATTTTCCATATCTAGCAGTGACATTTCCATTAAAGTTTAAGGGATTTATGAATTAATTAAAGGAGTAACGGTGTTGCGAGTTATGTTCCCCGTTTGGAACAAATAAAACAATCAAAATTTATAGTTAAAAATATAAAACAACAATTTTATTGAAACATGACACACCACAAATTCAATTTCTCAATATATACAGCGTTTTTAACAATACAAGCAAGAAAATAGAATAATAATATGCAATTATATAATATTCTTTTTATAACTTTTAACAAAATAAACAAAAATTATATCAATAACAGCTTCAAAATGTTGTAAATTCATTCAATCGTATTTGGAATCATCGCCGGCAATCCAATCTTTAATTTCTTGGGCACTATAAAACAGAATGAATAACAGATTGGTAAAATATAAAATATTATTTCCAAAATATAACATACGTTCTTGGAACTTCAGTCCAGTTGACACATCCATCTTCAGTAATCAATAAATTATCCTCAAAACGCACTCCACCAGAACTACGGAATCTCTCCAGTTGGTCCTTATTGATAAACTTGGCTATCTCAGGATTAGCCAATGCTTCATCCAACAACTGGAAAATATTTATGAAAATGAAATATACATATACATAAATTAGTGTTATGCTAAAAAAACTACAATATCAAGCGCAACGAGTACTAGTGCATATACACACAACTATCAATATAACTCGCTTTACGGAATTTTCTAGCAATAACTTTCAATACAGGGAGATAAAGGATTTAATTCTGCATCTAGCAAAATTATTTCGAACTAATTGTGATACCGCGTTCGCGTGTTATGCTAAAAAAACGACAATTCCTAGCACAACGAGTGCAAGTGCGTATACACACAACTGACAATATAACTCGCGTTACGGAATTTTCTAGCAATAACTTTTAATACAGGGAGATAAAGAATTATATTCTGCATCTAGCAAAATTATTTCGAACTAATTGTGATACCGCGTTCGCGTGTTATGCTAAAAAAACGACAATTCCTAGCACAACGAGTACAAGTGCGTATACACACAACTATCAATATAACTCGCGTTACGGAATTTTCTAGCAATATTTTTCAATACCGGGAGATAAAGGATTTAATTCTGCATCTAGCAAAATTATTTCTAACTAATTGTGATACCGCGTTCGCGTGTTATGCTAAAAAAACGACAATTCCTAGCACAACGAGTGCAAGTGCGTATACACACAACTGACAATATAACTCGCGTTACGGAATTTTCTAGCAATAACTTTTAATACAGGGAGATAAAGAATTATATTCTGCATCTAGCAAAATTATTTCGAACTAATTGTGATACCGCGTTCGCGTGTTATGCTAAAAAAACGACAATTCCTAGCACAACGAGTACAAGTGCGTATACACACAACTATCAATATAACTCGCGTTACGGAATTTTCTAGCAATATTTTTCAATACCGGGAGATAAAGGATTTAATTCTGCATCTAGCAAAATTATTTCGAACTAATTGTGATACCGCGTTCGCGTGTTATGCTAAAAAACTACAATTCCTAGCACAACGAGTTCTAGTGGGTATGCACACAACTGACAATATAACTCGCGTTACGCAATTTTCTAGCAATATTTTTCAATACAGGGAGATAAAGGATTTAATTCTGCATCTAGCAAAATTATTTCGAACTAATTGTGATACCGCGTTCGCGTGTTATGCTAAAAAAAACTACAATTCCTAGCACAACGAATACTAGTGCGTATACACACAACTATCAATATAACTCGCGTTACGAAATTTTCTAGCAATAACTTTTAATACAGGGAGATGAAGAATTAAATTTTGCATCTAGTAAAATTGTTTCAAACTAATTATGACACCGCGTTCCCGTATTATAACAATATAACCACAATTCCAAGCGCAACAAGTACTAGTGCGTATATACACAACATTCAATATAAGTCGCGTTACGGAATTTTCTAGTAATATACTTAAATACAGAGAGATGCAGAATTAAATTCTGCATCTTACAAAATTATTTCAAACTAATTATGACACCGCGTTCCCGTGTTATAACAATATAACCACAATTCCTAGCGCAACGAGTACAAGTGCGTATACACACAACATTCAAAATAACTCGCGGAACGGAATTTTCTAGTATTATATTTAAATACTGGGAGACGCACAATTAAATTCTGCATCTTACAAAATTTTTTCAAACTATTTGTGACACCGCGTGCGCGTGTTATAACAAAAAAACTACAATTCCTAGCGCAAGGGGTGACAAAAATCACCCTTTCATTCAAATTTTTGGCGGGTTCCTACGGTGCCCTGAACACGAGTCACTTTTACCGCTAGCCTCGTAAGGTGCCCTGAATCGAATCACTTCTACCGCTCACAAATACCACCCGGCGGAGATTTTAATTCTGCATTTTTTGACGCCCCGCTAAAGTTACTAGGTCGCAGAGTTCGCATAGAATAACGAAAATATACAAAAATGTACCTAATACTGACAATCAGAAGTATCAAACATACATACATACTGTACATATTCTAAGTACATAAAAATATGATGAGACTTACCAGGAGTGCAAATCTTAAGAATGAGAATCGTAGAACAAGTATTGAAGCCAAGTAGGAAACATATCAGAGAATGGATTTGTATTAAAACCAGAATTGTTCGCAAGAATCGACACTACAAAACTCGAAATTTGGAAAATGGTTGAACTGTACTGAAGTGAAATTCCCGATCAAGTAAAATTGCGGTAAGAACAAATCAAAATAATTCAATGAAATATTTAATCTAAAGAATAGAAATACTAACGCCGATAAATAAGTAGAAGTCAAACAATTATCGTGTGCAAGTTGTAGGGTACGGAATAAATATATTTTTATCTGTTTTATTTTCATGCACCAACAGGCCTAGCATCTCACATCAGTCGGGAGAGCAAACCGAAAAGAAATGTCAATAAATTCGCATATCAGGGGCATTCCAGTGTAAACATTAAACATCGGTAAGAATAAGCATTTACCAGGCGGGCAATGTATTAAATTCATATTAATTCAAACCGGAATGACAATTACAATGACGCGAAACTGAACTATGCCCATGAAATGAAGAATTTAATTATAATCTCACCCATGAACTCTCACCCTGTGTATTGTAACTCATGGAACGTCACTGGCCCCTTCGGTATTTCTTCTCAATTACTATAATAAATAAATAAAAGTTAAACACGTTGGTATAAAATGCAAAATAAAAGAATGTTAAAAAAATCGTTCCATTCCACACGGCGAACGAGATAAGAACACACTAGTTGTAAACAAACACCGATAAGCGTCAATAGTCAGAAGATTGAACACAATGCTAGCTGGCAATATCGGCACAAGTAAGAAAGGCTTAGATTTTAATTTGAATTTAATAAAAGATGCACACGTTTATATGAATTTACTATATTAATTAGGTTTTAAGACCGTATTGTTTGCAACGGAGCTGAGATATCAAGGGCGGCCATGAAGCGCTTGAAAGGCGAACACTACGGCGAACGCGACGTTATAATGGATACCGACAGACGCTTAGAATGAAAACTAAACCAATTACATTTATCATTAACTTTAATGAAGTCCAATGTTATTTACGCAAGGGCAGAATAAAAATAAATAGTACTCCACCAATTGGAAGATAGCCGACGGCACTTCACAACAGGTAAAACAACATAGCCGCGATACAATTTACGCTAAATAATAAATAACAATACTAAAGTTGTACTAAAGTCAAGTTACAATTAATTAGTCAATTGATGATTGAATATAATTCGAATTGGAAAGTAGAAGTCCGGATAAACAATACGAGTCGCGCAAAATACGTCTGGATCAACCAACGACCGGCACAAAACTGGCCGCAAGCTGCATAAGTAACGACGAGGCAGTTTATGATAAGAAAACAAGAGGTGCGCAAAGCCGGCGGGTCGATCGCACGCGACCTTGTGCGTCAGTTGCAATAGATGCGCAAACTCGGCGGCGCGTCGATGGAACGCGACCTTATGCGCGAATTGCATTTGGCAGTTTACCTGTGATCAAAACTAAACTAAGATGCAGCAACATGCGGCGTGAGGTGCTGGCAACGGACGACACACGGCAATGCGATACAGGTATGTATATGTGCCCACCAAACACAATGCTTTACTTTACAATTTTCAGTCCATGCTACGTTCATATGTTATACAGTAGTTTCGAAATTCTAGGATTTATTAAAGATAATAAAAAAATACAATTCGATTTGCGTAATTCTGATTTCTTATGCTGACAGATTGCCCGATTTTAAATCAAATATTTAAGAGATATTTAATTTGAACATGCATCGTTTTTCCTTTACCAGGGAACACATTAGTCCTGCAGATAATAAAAATGTATTAGAATTAAAATAAAATTGCTAGTTAGATTCATGAATAAATTGAAGAATATTTGCTTAAAATTACGATCCTAATAAATATAATAAACAGTAACGGTGTGTTTTGATTCCACGAAATAAAGATTCGATACCTGCAGGTAAACAAACTTATCCCTTGCGCGAAATCGCGTGATCCATGCCACGGACACGGTGTGCACCTTCACGTCACCAACAAGCAATATTTAATGCAAAACTGTACATCATAAGCGCCATCTAACCTTTAAAAATATTTATCAACTTCCCCAACTCTATCAGATAAAGATATAAAATACCATTTCCTACAGTAAAGGTCGAAAAACGCGACTAAAAGTGCTAAAAAGTGACATTTTGCAATTCTTTTTGCCCATTTTATTCAATCGCGAATATCTCGTAAACTAAAAGAGATAAATAAGATCTGATCGCATGTCTTAATCTACGGACCACCCTATCAGATAGGATAGTTAAACCGAAATCTGAGAGATGAAATTTTACATCTTAAGAAAAATTGTCAAGGGGGGGTGCTTGATACTTTTTTCGGCGATTTTCAAAATTCATATTCTTAAACTAAAAGAGTATAGCTACCAACGAATTGTTGATTGTGAAAGATTGAAGATTTTCATCAGGATAATGCTGTAAAATTGGCACTCTACTGCCGTAAAGTGAACGTTTGAAACATGTGAAAAGCAGACAAACAACTGATAAGGCCGCCGCGCACACCTCGCGAAGCTGAAACTGTGGTCCCCCGTAGCTCATGTCGATTGCGCAAATAAATTACATCCAAATATTCCTATTAGTACATGATTTCTGTTAGATGACGATGCAACTTGGTGGTTGCGAACGTGAAAACGAAGTTTGAATCGATCATATTGCAAAAACGTGTCTAACGCCGTAAAAAACAATGCAGCGTGCAAATTTTACGAATAACAGGGTTAAAAAAAGGCGCAAACGAAAATACTGCAAGAAACTTACTTGTGAGTGCCTCGAGGAATGTTTTTCACTTGGTAGCAACACCTTTTTACTCATTTAATAAATTATTAGCAATTTTATTAGCGGAGCTATAACTGCAGAGAATGTCGCGCACTGAACGCATAAAGATACAAGACAGCCAGTTTGGTGTCAGGTGTACTCACTACTTAAGGCGTTGATATTTTAATACAATCTTGAGTCCAAACCGCTGGTAGGATGCTTGAAGTCCGTTGAGGCCCCGTACAAACCTTCATGGAAGTGGAATTGTTTTTATCGCGCATTATAATAGAGCAATACGGATTACGCAATACTTTCCGATTTTTAATCGCGTCCCGCACTCGATTTGTCGCATATTCGGATAAATATTTATAAACACCGCGTACTTTCCCTAACAGGTGAAAGGGGACAAGGCACGACCCTCCTTCGGTAGCTAATTTATCGCGATTCAATAAAATTGTTAAATTAAAACGCGTCGCAACCCGCACTCGATAAGTATTTCGTTACACCTCTCCAGGTCCCTCGCGAATAACGTTTATCACTTATACCTGTGAATCAAACGAAGATTAAAAATACTGGGTAAGGATGATTTGGTAGATATTCGGAACAATTTTTTTTTTAAGAATAAAATAAATAAATAATAAATTAATCTAAATTGGCAAGGATTTTTTTTAAATTATGAAAGAATATTAAAAGAATAAAAAAATAATAAAACAATAATGATATTAAGAGGTAGTTTGTTTAAACATGAAGGAGTGGAATATTAGTAAACACAAAAAGTACATAAACCGATAACGAACGCGCCCGAATTACAAAAATGCCCAAATAAATCGAATATGTACCTGAAAGACAAGCAGAAAGAACAATTAGTAGGAACAGAAAAATTCAAAATTATTAGAGACAATGTAAAAACTTTGTAGCAATGTTCAAACCTGTTCCCATTCCTGGGAAAGCATGACTACTCCTGGACATCTTGTGGCGGACCGGGGAATGTCATCTAGAAACAGCAGGAATTTTTAAGCATAAGGAGAAATAATAGAAAGAACAGTTATTTTTTTAATATACATGCCTGCGATGGGAAACAGGAACGGTTTCAAGAAGTCGGTTGATAATCCGATCGGAATGCAGCATCAACAACGTCGCACACAAGAAACCGAAAATAAAACAGAATTAAAATGTAACAAATACTAAAGAATAACTAAATGATAAATGCAACGCTTGAAAATAAAAATAAGAGTGCGTTATCAGCAGTCCCGAATTGTGTTGGAATGTTAAAATCAAAACAACAACATGGCCTCTCTTTGTGTTAGCAGTGCTGTAAAATTGGCACTCTACTGCCGCAAAGTGAACGTTTGAAACATGTGAAAAGCAGACAAACAACTGATAAGGCCGCTGCGCACACCTCGCGAAGTTGAAACTGCGGTCACCGCATTCCTCATTTCGACTGCACTATTAAACTACATTCTAATTGGAATAGATACATTGTAGACATTATGTGTTTTATGGGATGATGCAACTTGGTGGTTGCGAACGTGAAAACGACGTTTGAATTGCGGCCATATTGCAAAAACGCGTCTAACGCCGCATAAATCAATGCAGCGTGCAAATTTTACGAATTACAGATTTAATAAAAAGGCGCAAATGAAAATAATGCTAGAAACTTACTTGTGAGTGCCTCGAGGAATGTTTTTGACTTGGTAGCAACACTTTTTTACTGATTTAATAAATTATTGACAATTTTATTAGCGGAGCTGTAACTGCAGACAATGTCGCGCACTGAATGATGCTGCTGAGCGTACGTTGCGGAAGAACGTTAACTTGTTTCCCTGCGCCGCTTCCTGCGCCGGACTTGCTATTCTATATAAAATTAAAATAATTCAATTTAATGGGGTAAAATACGACGCTATACCGACGATTGCACGTGCATATGTTGGCGCATAAAGATACAAGACATCCAGTTTGGTGTCAGGTGTACTCACTACTAATGGCGTTGATATTATAATACAATCTTGAGTCCAAACCGCTGGAAGGATGCTTGCAGTCCGTTGAGGCTCCGTACAAACACCCATGGAATTGGAATTATTTTTAACGCAACCTTTAAGCAATACGGATTACGCGATACTTTCGGATTTTTAATCGCGTCCCGCACTCGATTTGTCGAATATTCGGATACATTTTTTATAACACTGCGTACTTTCCCTAACAGGTGAGAGGGGACAAGGCACGACCCTCCTTCGGTAGCTAATTGAATACGATTCAATAAAATGGTTAAATCAAACGCGTCGCGACCCGCACTCGTATTTCGTTACACCTCTCCAGGTCTCTCGCGAATATCGTTTATCACTTATACCTGTGAATCGAAACAGAGATTAAAAATACTGGGTAAGGATGATTTGGTAGATATTCGGAACTATTTTTTTAAGAATAAAATAAACAAACGATAAATTAATCTAAATTGGCAAGGATTTTTTTAAATTATGAAAAATAAGAATATTAAGAGAATTAAAAAATAATAAAATAATAATGATATTAAGAGGTAGTTAGTTAAAACATGAAGGTGTGAAATATTAGTAGACACAAAAAGTACATAAACCAAAAACGAACGCGCCCGAATTACAAAAATGCCCCAATATATCGAATATGTACCTGAAAGACAAGCAGAAAGAACAATTAGTATCAGAAATTTTAAAAATCATGAAAGACATTGGATAAACGTTACAGCAATGTTCGAACCTTCTTCCATTCTTGGGAAAGTAAGACTAATTCTGGACATCTTGTGGGTGACCTTAAAATGTCATCTAGAAACAGCAGAAAATTTTAAGTAAAAAGAGAAATAATAGCAAGTACAGTTATTTTTTTAATATACATGCCTGCGATGGAAAACAGGAACGTTTTCAAGAAGTGGATTGAGAAACCGATCGTAATGCACCATCAACAACGGCGCACGCAATAAACCGAAAATAAAACAGAATTAAAATATAACAAAATACTAAAGAATAAGTAAATGATAAATGTAACGCTAGAAAATAAAAATAAAAGTTCGTTATCAGCAGTGCCGAATGGTGTTGGAATGTTAAATTCAAAACATGGCGTTTTTTTGTGTTAGCAGTGCTGCACAATTGGCACTCTACTGCCCCAATGTTACTGTTTGAAACATGTGAAAAGAAAACAAACAGCTGATAACTTAGCCGCGTACACTTCGTGAAGGTGAAACTGCGCTCCTCCCATACCACATGTCGATTGCATAATAAAATTACATCCGAATATTCCAATTATATTCCATTTGAATATTCCATTGCAAGTACATGATTTGATTTATGTGATGACGCAACTTGGTGGTTGCGAACGTGAAAATATTTCTTACAGTAAAAGATCGAATAATGCGACTAAAAGTTCTAAAAAGTGAAATTTTTCAATTTTTGCCCATTTTATTCAATCGCGAATATCTCGTAAACTAAAAGAGATGAATAGGTACATATCGCAGAAACTATTCTACAAGCTATTCTCTATAAGATTAAAATACTTCAATTTAATGGGGTTAAATACGACGCTATACCGACGATTGCACGTGCATATGTTGGGGCATAAAGATACAAGACAGCCTGTTTGGTGTCAGGTGTACTCACTACTTATGGCGTTGATATTTTAATACAATCTTGAGTCCAAACCGCTGGTAGGATGCTTGAAGTCCGTTGAGGCCCCGTTCAAACCCCCATGGAATTGGAATTATTATTAACGCGCCCTTTAATAGTGCAATACGGATTACGCGATACTTTCTGATTTTTAATCGCGTCCCGCACTCGATTTGTCGAATATTCGGATACATTTTTTGTAAACACTGCGTACTTTCCCTAACAGGTGAAAGGGGACAAGGCACGACCCTCCTTCGGTAGCTAATTGAACACGATTCAATAAAATGGTTAAATCAAACGCGTCGCGACCCGCACTCGATGAGTATTTCGTTACACCTCTCCAGGTCTCTCGCGAATATCGTTTATCACTCATACCTGTGAATCAAAACAAAGATTAAAAATACTGGGTAAGGATGATTTGGTAGATATTTGGAACAATTTTTTTTTAAGAATAAAATAAATAAATGATAAATTAATCTAAAAGGGCAAGGATATTTTTAAATTATGAAAAATAAGTATATTAAAAGAATTAAAAAATAATAAAGTAATAATGATATTAAGAGGTAGTTAGTTAAAACATGAAGGTGTGAAATATTAGTAGACACAAAAAGTACATAAACCGAAAACGAACGCGCCCGAATTTCAAAAATGCCCCAATATATCGAATATGTACCTGAATGACAAGCAGAAAGAAAAATTAGTAACAGAAAAATCATCAAAGAGATTGGATAGACGTTACAGCAATGTTCGAACCTTTTCCCATTCTTGGGAAAGTAAGATTAATTCTGGACATCTTCTGGGTGACCTTGAAATGTCATCTAGAAACAGCAGAAAATTTTATGTAAAAAGAGAAATAATAGCAATTACAGTTATTTTCTTAATATACATGCCTGTGATGGAAAACAGGAACGTTTTCAAGAAGTGGATTGAGAAACCGATCGTAATGCACCATCAACAACGTCGCACGCAATAAACAGAAAATAAAACAGAATTAAAATGTAACAAAATACTAAAGAATAAGTAAATGATAAATGTAACGCTAGAAAATAAAAATAAGAGTGCGTCAGCAGTGCCGTATGGTGTTGAAATGTTAAATTCAAAACAACAACATGGCCTCTCTTTGTGTTAGCAGTGCTGCACAATTGGCACTCTACTGCGGCAAAGTTACCGTTTGAAACATGTGAAAAGCAAACAAACAGCTGATAACATCGCCGCGTACACTTCGAGAAGGTGAAACTGCGATCACCCCATACCACATGTCGATTGCACAATAAAATTACATCCGAATATTCCAATTAGACGCATTGCAAGTACATGACTTGATTTATGTGATGACGCAACTTGGTGGTTGCGAACGTGAAAACGACGTTTGAATCGCGGCCATATTGCAAACACGCGTCTAACGCCACATGAAACAATGTCGCGTGCAAATATTACAAATTACAGATTTAATAAAAAGGCGTAAATGAAAATAATGAAAAGAAACTTACTTGTGAGTGCCTCGAGGAATGTTTTTCACTTGGTAGCAACACTTTTTTACTGATTTAATAAATTATTGACAATTTTATTAGCGGAGCTGTAACTGCAGTCAATGTCGCGCACTGAATGATGATGCTGAGCGTGCGTTGCGGAATAACGTTAATTTGTTTCCCTGCGCCGCTTCCTGCGCCGGACATGCGCACAAAAAGTTCGGTGTTGACGTGATGTTGATAAACCGACGTCTCACCCCGCAACCCAAAGTGCGCATAAGACGGTCGGGTAGTATCAGTGTGATAGAACGCCAGAAAACAGACAAATAAATGAAATTGAATGTTTATTTTGATTTACTTAAAATATTAAACATAAATACTTGTTACTTTAATTGTAGTATCCTTTAAGGATCAAGAATCTGCCGTCGTTTTTCTTCTAGCTCTTTTAGTTCAGGAGTTATTAGCGTTTTATTTCGATTTCGCAGGAAAAAATGTTCTTCGGCCAAAAAAATTTAACTTCAAAAGTTCGGCCATGTTCTTCAGCCGAAAATATTTTTAATAAGAAAGGTCCTGTTCTTAAAAAAATGTATTCGTTTGCGAGATATAAGGTGTTTTCCACAACAGGATTTACAAAATCATAAAAAATAGCAAGGTTTAAATCAAGCTTTAAAGCAATTCCCAGTCATTTAAAGGTTTGAAAGACTATCCATGTAGTAAAGGGTTTCTTAAACAATCATTTAACGATTAAACACAACTTACATTCCACCTTCCAACCAAATTTATTATAAAAAGAGAAAAGTATCACTTATAAGTAATAATGTGTAAAGTATTTGCTTAATCCATACGTGTCTTCAATTCTTTTACCGTCATCTTGTTCTTCTCTCTGCAAATAAACGAATAGTTAATGAAAGAATATTTGGCAATGCAGAAGAAAACTTACATTATATAAACGGTTGCGCCCCAACCTGAGCCAGCATCCCTATCGAACGCGTTCATGAGTGCTTGTGAAATGGTCTCAAACAGTTCCTCTGGTCCCATATTTGGCTCCCAGAGTGCCTCACACATTCCATACAACTGCTGGGACGCTGTCCCGCCGACGACAAAGTCCTCCGGTTCGTTGATGCAGCCGATCAAGTCCATATTACACACGAATGGCTTATAAGTGTGTGGGTCCAAGCCGGCAACAATTGGTTCCACGAAAAACGGCCCAAAGCGCTTCTCATAGAGCATGTTGGACACCATTGAACTAAACACCTTAGGCGTTATCTGACGGTTTTCGCGTAACTCATAAAGATTCTTGCGAAAACGCAACTTTTCCATGACTGTGAGTGTGTCGGTGGCAAGACCAGGCAGACCCACATACAAATGGGGGCCCATCTCAAACACTTTTTTAAAGTCTAATGCAACGGTTTGAGCCTGGATTCCAAGGCGTTTGTCGGTGGCAATTGCTACGCATTGATCACCCTTCATAGCCACCATCGCACCACCATTGTAGGACATAATACTCTGAAGAATAATAAAAATCACGTATCATTCTAGTACACATAACCAAAAAAAAAACTAAACTTTAAAACAATAAATTTCCAATATAAAAACCCAATCAGCAACGGTATCAGTATATAACTTGCACTTACCATCTTGATGACGACTTGTTCTACACTCTTCTCGAAAATAATCCAATAATTTAGCTCTGAATTCTGTATAACTAGCGCAGAATGACTCGAAGTTTTCCTCCAACAACCGGTGAGCACGACCGATGATGACAAATGACAGGAGCGCCTCACGTAGCGTTATACGACACTAAATCAGCCCGGTGTAAGGTTTGTGGTTACGTTTGATTTGTTTTGGTTTATAAAATGACCGAAAAGCGTGCAAACTCCGACCAGGAGGCGGCTGCCTCTGACGATGAGGCTGATTTTGTCGGTCCCACACTCCCAGAAATGAAACACAAGAAGCGCAAAATACTACCGCACGAATCTCTTTATTTAGAGAACATTCCATCCGGCGAGTCTTACGAGAGAAGCTACATGCACCGGGACACAATCACGCACTGTTTATCAACGGCTACTGATTTTGTTCACGGCTCAGATGCACACGTTCTTGGTCCATTCCTAAACCAATCGGGATGGTTAACCTGTTGCAATGTTTTTAAAACCAAAAGTTTCTTCCTACCAGCTTGCCAGACTTGTTCTCCAACCATAAGCATAGCTCTTAATCTTAATAAAGTATCTCTTATGGTTTCGACCGAATGCGCCTGCGCTCGTGATAATCCTAAATTCCTAACTTCCGCACGCAGATCCTTCGCTTTTTTCTGCAGCCCTCGTAGTTGATTGTACATCTCCGGAGTTAATTGTAAATCTCTGTAGATATGCCGCCCATCATATTGACCCGGCGACAAAGAAGCTGGCTTCGGAGGCGGCGCAGGTTTCAATCGATCTCGCTCTAAACACCCAAGAAAAACAACAAAATACATCACGTTATTTCATTCGACGGTCATTTATCATGTAGCGCAGTGATGTACACGACACAAAGAAAAATAAACGAGATTTGGCAAAAGTTTGCAGAGTACGGAACATGTCATAAACGTGAGACGAATATTAACACTTTAAACTGCAGCAAATGTAGTGGAAGATTTATTCGTAAGAATAGAGAAAAACATATGAGTGTGTAAAAGTGTGTAAAAATTTAAAAAGACGGCTAAATCGTTTGAGAAACATTTGAACGTTTGTATCGGTCTTACCCTGCGAGGAGGTCCGTGGAAGAGTTGAAGACTTAATGGCAGGCTTGGTAGGTTTAGTATCCGCTACAGAAAGCAACCGTTTAGAATCAAAAAAACCGTTTTTGTTAGTGATCCAATTAAATTAGATTCAGATTCTTCTGGTTGCTAAAACATTCAACATCCTGGTGTGATGGAAAACACATGCGCAATTCATGCAAACCCAAAATGAATCGGAATACAAAAGAGGATAAAGTCTTCTACCTGGGAGTGATCTTACCAAGAACACTAGCATAGGATTATAGATAATAATAAATAAATAAAAACCACAGTAAAATAATAAAACGATTGATTATTACAAGTAAAATAAAAGTAAATATTACTTAAGTCAACTACAATCTAAGTACAAGAGGTTTCAATACAATAAATACAATATATTATAACTTAAGTAGCAATTGTGTTAAAATAAACTAAAACCATGCACCAAATTGTTATTTTTTGGGTTTCAATTAGATCTACAATACAAGAAATGGAAACGAAAACAACTCGCCCAGAATTACATCAATTTATCAAAGCATGACTCATTTAAAGTCCGCTAATAATTAAATTAGCAAATTAAACAACTTAAACCATGTCGCAATTAAGCGAACAATGACTTTCAGTGTTTTCTCGCCATGATGCAATTCTGGAACGAATTCAATTTGATAAATTGATAAAGTTCTAAGAGCTACACTACACAAATAAGCCAGAGGAAAAATAATTGTAAATTCCTACGTACATTCTCTCTGTTTGAAGCGTGTTATTGTTATAACTAAAGAATATACGAATACGTCGAACTGTTACGCTGATTTTTGCGAGTTACGACAAAATGCGACGCGCGTCCACGGCGCTCTGGACGCCCTCGACAGTCAAAAATAAAAACAAAACAAAGTACTGCATGCTGTTTGTTCTTCGTAAAAGCACACGTTCAAAATAAAAAAAACCCAACGAAAAATCATTCCTGCCGAGCTGCTGGGCGCGTTTTGTATTTACCTGAATGTTGAGGACTGTGCTGTTTGGGTGAATTCATATCCGGCGGCTCGTCGCTGAACGACACCGACTTCTCGAACGAAACGACTTTATCTAAAACACACACATCGGAAAAATTAGCGCCGCACGCCCACATTGCGTTGAATGAGAAGCTCATAGAGATGAAGTTTAAGCTGGGTACATGCCGAATACTTCCACCATGATGGGTGTATTATGACGGGCTTCCTGTTGGGAAAAGCATGCAGAACAATAGAACACAACATCGATTTCGAGAGGTAATTCTTCGCAGAATTTACGTATGTACACAGAAATGTACGAATATAAACTATTCATGCTGGCGGACGAAAAGAAGATTTGGTTTGTCGGCGCGCGACAACGATGGCGTTGATAACAACAATAGGGTAACAACAACATGTTCAACGTCTCGGGCATGCCTATAGGTTCGAAAATGCCAACTTACGGCAGCCGCTTTTACCCAATTTGGGCGGTTTTGTCTCTGAACGCACGTAGGTGTCATCTGCCAACATATACATTAGATTATGTGTAACAACTTGTCTGTAAATCGCTTCGAAATTTTTTTGGGCTATCGCATCGAAAACAATCAGCTAATATCAGGTCCCATCTCAATAGAAAATAAAATTTTCAAACAAAATAAAAATTCTTTGAGTGCTAAATCAGTGAAATCAAAACATGCAGATGTGAATTCTTTCATTTAGGTGTCCAAATAAATTCTAAATATAATAAAGCAGACTTAAAATAAAATAAAAAATATTTAGCAATTTTTTTTTGCAAATTTCATTTAGTGTATGCGTTTTGTTGTAGTATAGGTTCCTGTTTGGCGGAGGGTTTTGGTTGGTAATCGGTGGTGGGCTTCAGTTACAAACCTGGCAGCGTTTGCATCGAACTCGACGACGAGTTCACGTTCATGTTCACATCGCACTCATCTGACGAACGAATGCGGGGATGCAGGAAGCGCACACAGAGAGATCGAGCGAAGCACACCAACGGGTGGCGCACATTTTTGTTTTTCGGTATTCAAAGAGTATCAACAAACAAACAAACAGACCAGAAACGTAAACTCGAGCACATTTGCAACATAATGGCGAAAGTCATTCCTCAAATCGTGTCCTTTTGTACACTCGCTAATTGTTTTCCAACTTACAATTGTATTGAATGTACAAAATATAAAAAATATCAAATTCATAAAATTAATTTAATTTAATTAAATATACAGAGTGTTTTATTAATTTCCATATTAATATAACTCTAAAAACACTCTGTATGCTTGTGTAAAATCAATGTGATGCAACAAAGCGTCAACAACGTGCACGTGTTTAACCAACGCCCAAACGCTACGCTACGAATGCATCCTAGATGATGGCAAGTCCAAGCTAATTAGCGAAGTTCATAATTTGCCGCTCGTCGCGTTCATTAAGCCGGAGATCCGTATACGATTTTCGCATTTTGCATACTTTGGCGTACGAGCGTGCCTCGCTGGCATGTGAAAAACAAAGAGTGGTAGAAGAAAAACTAAATAAAAACTCACCCCGATACGAGTCGCGCCCTGTCGAGGGCACTTGAAGCGTCGCCGGCGTCTGGTGCGTAAGGGCCTTCTGCACCAGACCGGTTAGATTGGCCAATTGTCGTTCCATGTGCTCCACACGAATCCTGCAATAAAATCATAAACATTTTCCTCTTTTCTTAAATTAAAAATCGTAAAATGCTCAGAAATAATTGCATAAAGACAAAATTAGTTGAATTATTACAAAATATTAATTAACGTGAGCGTGTCATGTGCGTGAGCGTGAAGTTACCTCGTGGCATCGTATGGGGGTGCTGCAGGCGTGGAAAATTGTGTTCTGGGTGCGGGCCGTGGTCCTCCCGGCGCGATTTTCACGCCGTATATCGAATATTGATCGTCGATCAATTCGGTGTCGCTTTAAGCAGAAACACATTCGACGATCAAGAAGCGAAGAGTGCAGTCGAGAGATAAAATCATCACATTACACAAACAAGATGACACCAGATTAATATTAGAAATATTAAATGAATTAATAAATATTGAGAAACGAGACAAGTTAAATTTTTGCGCTGATGTGCTTGAGACATGAATAATACCTTTAAAAATCAAATAAAAAATTATATCGAATAATACCTGACTTCTTCGTCGATGACAGGAGTAATCGATCCGGATCGAGCGCCATATTGACTGTAGTAGGCCTCCTCATACCGGGAGCCTCTCTCTGGCGATGACATGTACCCATCTATAATGAAACAGGTAATCTCGTTAGCGTAGACTCTCGCGCCGCACTTCCGGGCGAGCGTTAATCATTAATCAATATTTTAATAGTGTATTAAGTTACACGAACTGGTTAATCAGCTGGAGGTGGTGAGGGGCGGGGGCACACCAAAGCGGGGGCAATGTGAAACATTAACGTTAATGAATTTTAGAACAATGTGATTTTATCGTAATGTGTTAATATATAGAGTGATAAAAGTGATAGTGATACATTCAACAAAACAAAAGGGTTGTGTTTTGTGCGTTTGGGTTGGGTTGCAAGTTTTCATTTTTAATTGACTACCATTTCACTTTTATCTAATAAATTTCGCTATAACTGTCTTAATAAATACGGTGTTTTATTATCATCGGAGAGTTTTCCAACAAGAGTCAAGAAAGTCCATAAATAAACACGTTTATTAACTTTCTTTGTAAGTTTATAACCATCGGTTTGTAAACGATACGACAATGGAGAGTAACGGAGAACTATCACCAATATATAAAAAGTAATTGTTGGCTTTTAGTTTCTTTGACATTATTTTCGCTTTAATTATTGTTTTTGTGTCTTTTAGTTTCAGTTATTTGTTTCGAATGGTGTTAATTTCGCGCGTGTGCAGACCTTTGATCGGACTTTAATGCAGCTCGAATTTAGTCGTTAGTTATTTAATTAAAAGCGTTGTAAATAGCGTTAAATTACAGTTGAATTTGTGTCAGGTGAAGGGAGACATGGTCGCACTGGATGCAACTGGCCACAAAAATGTCTACAAATGCCAATGTGTAATTTTAAACCAAATTTCTATTAATTTGTGCTTTTTAGTTGTATTTTTGCAACCAGGCTGTGGAGGTGATGGTTTTAGTAGTGGTTATATTGTTGTGGTTGTTCGGGCAGTGAGCGCTAGTGAACCGACCTGGTATGTTATAGAGGGAGTTGTTTGGCCTTTGGGCAAATTGGGCAAAACGGTCTGGGGCGGCGGCACGCGCCCCCGCACCATCCGCACCGGAACGGGCCGTACCACTAGAATACGCGCGTTGCGGTTTCGGGGGTGCACCTTGCAGAGACAACAGAGAAACAAACAAAAATCGTTTTTTGTCGTTCTTGGGCACACACAGGACATAGAATGAGACAATCAAATTCGTCACAAGTCACAGTACAAACACATTTTGCAAGCAAACTCATAAAAGCATTTTTATCCATTGAAAAATTGAAAAAGTAAAAAAAAGTTGAAAAAATGTGAAATCATGAATTTTAAATGATCATGCAGGGAAAACAAGCAGGTTTATTGACAGTTTTAAGGGCAGATTGTGTAATCTAATATTCAAACATGGGATGCGAGGGCGCAATCAAATATGCAGAAACAAGAGCACAATTGCAAAATGAATGCCACTACATTAAACGAATTATTTCATTTAAATTTCTCCGCTCGGAGATTTTAACCCAAAAAAATTCGCAGAATTTCTCGCAATTCTTGCACATCATGAGGCATGTGATGCCCCATGGTCACTTTCATTCATCCTAGAATCAACATACTCGCCCCAGTCACCAAGGCAACCCTCATTTTTTCCCACACGCACACATACCGACTGTCCGTCATCGTCAACGTGACTCGGGGTCGCCACCCCGAGGGCGTTCGGCTAGTCTATGAATAATTTACCTGTCGGCAGGGTTTTCATACGGTCCTGCGGCAGATTACCCACTGCTGGAGAGTAAGCGCGAAGGAGACCCGCCCTTGGCAAACTCGCTGTTGAACCGATGTAGTATGGAGCACCTTTTGCACTTCCCTGAAAATAAATATAAAAATATTATTAAAAAATTACAAAACACTCTGTATATTATGATAATTTTTATTTTTAGTTATTTCTTGTAGTTAGATTGCGCTAAAGTAATTAAAAGAGCACTTAAAAAATGTCTCAATAAAAGACTAATTGAAAGTGGCCTGAACTTTCATCATTTTCATTCGAGTTAATGATACTGTGTCGCTGGAGGCGCGTGTACGCAACGCGTACGTAAGATGAAAGCAATTGCACACCTTTCTTACAACTTTCTGTTGCTCAAACATCAAATAATCTCATAAATTTAAAAATTCCCATAACGCACACTCCACTATTATTTATGACGATAATTTGTCTTCATTTAAATCATCATTACAATCACCTGCTCGTAATTACACATCAGTTACAATTATGCGCATGTAGAGAGTAATGTTACACATCACCTCGGATAAATTTATAGTTATGACGTAATTACCAGGGCTTAAATTCGAAGGAAAGCAATAACAAGCAGGTTTATTAACTTTCATTATGATACTTATGATACTTGCCTGGTTAGTTGGGTTTTAACTTGTGTGGAAGTTTGGAATCGTGTTCACTTTGCGTGGAAGTTTTCGCGTATAATGGCAATAACCGAAACGGGAAACTTTGGCGGAGTTGGGCGCGCGCATTGTGCAAACAGAACTTTTGTCATGTGTCGCGTTGCAGCGCATCGCATCAGATTGAATCGCTTCGCTTGTTTTCAAGTAGATTCGCATCGAATCGAGTTTTCTTGCCTGCGCGCTGGAAATACTTTTCAATTTTCGATCGTAATCTGGTTCCGCTTGGGCAAGAAGCGAAAATGCGAATTGTTTGTATTTTTAAGCATTTTATTTCGATTTATTTCGGATGAGCCAAAACGATTGTAAAGGGAATCAAATCAACAAAGCCAATAAACGTCAGTTATTTAATGTATGTCTTTAGTTGTTTTCTTGATGTTTTGTTGCTTTTAGTGTATTAAAACAAATAAATAAATTTCAATTGATTTGTTCAAATATTGTATTGTATTGAATATTTCAATTCGAAGCACTTTGTATTGACATAAAAGAAACAAAACGCGGAGATTTTCTAGGAAAAACGTTTTGCAGGGAGAAATGATTGCCGAAGACGTTTTCATGCCAATTTTTTCCGATTCGTTGATTCCGCTTAAACATCACCGTGTTTTTCGCCGCGCGTTTTTCATGTCGCGCATAACGTTTTCTGTTCGTTTCGTTTGTGCTCTTGCTCTTCTATGCAAAACATTATTAGTGCGATTGCAGTGCGGAGGTATCCAACTATTTTGTTATTATTTTTCCAAGCAAAGAATTAAAATAAAATATAAAGCGGAGAAAATGTGAAAACAACTTATTCAAATAAACAGTATTTGTATTTGTTTGTTTGTGACACTGCTACGCATAAACCACTAAACAAATCTTGATAATTTTTGGGTCGGAAATATTTTGGATCTAGGAGAATAACATAGGCTACTTTTTGTCGCGAAAATATAACTTAAAGGAAGTGAAAAATAGTTTGCAAGTTTGTGCAACGAAAAAGATAAATAATAATTCAGGTGATTCCCAGTCAAGCATATTTTTATAATTAAACAAATTTATGTCCTATGTTTAGACCTGTATTTAATTTTAATAAATAAATTTGAATAAATCATGTAACCTTTATCCACGTCCGGATATCATGCGCAATTCTTGTATGGTCTTGTAACAATTCTCCAATTTGCATATTGAGGAGAAACGCGGCAAATTAATCACAAATTCAAATAAGATTCCCATCTGCATGATTTGCATTAGCAAGTGCCCTTTTAACATTTATTGCCCAGGCCCAGCAACAGCAAGCATTACACATTACTTCATTAGTCATTCGCCTCCGGCATGTTCTTCCACCGCGCAGCTTTTCGCACAAAACGCACATTTATTTGACCTACGCACAGCCTAACGCAATTAAAATAAGTGCTCCTTGAACCATTCACGCGTTGTAGAAGCGATCAAGCATCAAATATTGCAACGCCATCGATGGGACATAAAAAGCTGAGCGGTGTGGGAATGCACATGATGCGAAGAGTAAACGACGGCGATGGAATGTAAAGGAAGGAGGCGCCGAGCGTCAGCGCGTAATTGGGTAAACAACATCCAAGTTCCGGTGCTTCTTTTAATCATAACTAAAGAGACTACCGCCGAACGCAGAAGACGAGCGCGCAAGAAATTCAGTGTTGGCAGCGAAAGAGATGAGCGTGGCGAACGTGCACACAATCGCGTTCAGACTGAATTAAATCAAATTTATACCATGATTTGCGTGAGGCGCGGTGGTGCATTTTAATTTCCGAGTTTGCGGTGTGTGATAACTCGTCAGTGAAGGGTGGAGATTTTACCCCAGACGCATATAAAGTGAAATTTTTAGTTTTCGGTAAGTAACGAGATCTACGTCAAATTCTATTGTCAGAAAAGTTTCACTTTGATTTCTCTTTCTTCAATATTGATCGACAATGCAATTTGAACACATTATTGATAATGATTTTTTAAACGGTATGATGTAACATTCAATAAACATCTAGGTCTTGTGTAATAATGAAATAATTAATGCCGTTAGCAATTAAAAACTGTAAACACGTTAAAAATTCGATGATAAAAATCCAAACGCGTGAAATCAAATCACAATTTTCGTTTGCAGATACCGTTTTTTATTTTTCGCCAAGCGAAGCATGATGGAATTAATTACAAGAACGAAATTAATGATACAGTTGCTGGTGCTGTTCGTAATTAGCGAACGCGGCAGCAACCTAATGGTGGGCACAGACGCAGGCGAAATCCGGCGCGCCTACATCTCACCCTACGACACCATCAATAAGGTCTCGCTCACGCAAAAGGCTACATCCAGGTAAGCCCAAAGTGTTCCATCATAATTTATCCTCATTCATCTTCTACCTCCAACTGCACTTTACTCATTCTTCCATTCTTCGTCTCGATTACAAATTGTTTTGTGTTCTGTTACCGGTTCAAGTTCCTCAAGTATCTCGCGGACGTGCCGCCGCTGACCGAATTCACGTTCTGCCTGTGGATGCGCAGCGACAACCTCAACTTTTCGCATCCGTTGTTTTCATACTCAAGTGAGTATCCGAGCTAATGACGATTTGCCGCCCGAAACCGGAGAAAAATGACACACCATAACCGTTTATTAAGAGCGTGCGCAACCTGCACACTCACCACATAATAATAATAAATTCGAGCTCTGCGCTCGTGCGTGTCCTTCCCGGTTGAACAAAAATAATAACAAACGAGATCAATGGGTCAGTTCATTCAAGTGCTGCACAACAAGATCATCCAGATGAATAGTTATAGCCACACAGAATAAAAATACTAAAAATTTTAAAATTTCAGGAAATGAAAGAGACCGACTGATACGAGTTTGGGTCAGCGATAGAGGACTCTATGTAAACATGGCGATTCTCGAGCAGGATGTCTTTAAAATCCCGATAAACGTCAATGAAAACCACTGGAATCATTTCTGTCCATCGTGGAATGCGAAAACAGGCACGTGGAGCTTCTACTACAATGGAAAACTCATCCAGACAGGGTTAAACTACAAAGTAAGTCAGAAATCTATCAGAAACCAATAAATTAACTTCCAAAATTTTTCTAGTTAAGAGATGTAATCATCCCTGGTCAAGGTGACATTGTCATCGGTCAAGAATACACCGACTTCGATAAAGGGCTAGACGATGGAGTTGAAGGTGATGTCTACGCATTCAACTTCGTAGCTTCATCAACAACCCCACCTAAGCATCTCTACCAGCAAAAAACCAACAACTACCGCCGTCAAATGTACATCCCTTCATATTCCGAATACGTCCTGAAGCCCACACCACCATATTATCAAAGTGATACCCCTACGGTGGTGGGTTACTTCACAACTACAACCCGAGAACCTAAGGGTCTAATGGATTTCGGGCAATCGATGCTTAAAAAGTTGTATAATTTATTCGACATGCGTGAATTACGCTCAAAACTACGATTTCCCTATGAACTCTTTGGTGGGACCAATAATAATGTCCAAACAGTGCAGATTAAATATGGCGGGCCAGTAAAACGCGCCTACAAACATGGCGGACATGATTATATGCTTGGCAATGTCGTAGAGAGTGCCGATAAGACTCTGGGAATGTTTTTGGTTGAGCTCAGTTATGAGAATTGTGTGCTGGGACGAGGTGCGCCGCTTGTGGATGAAAAAGTCATCGTCAGCTGGACCAAGACGCCTGTGCGCGTGTTCGGCGGTGCCATTTTGAAGACTGTCATGCCGTTCTGCCGAAAAATGTGAACGCAATCAACCACAAAACGAAAAATCAGAATATCTAGGCAAATGTACATAAAATAATTTAACGTAGGCAACACACCGTACAATAATACATGTTTAGTGGGTAGACTACGTCCAGCAACCAGATAATGAATTATTTTAATTTTAACGTTATTTAAAAATGATCTGAATAATAATTTATCTAAGTAGGTTAACAACTACAAATTTAATTAGAGTTTAAACGCATCTTCATTAATATCGTGTGTAAATTGTAAATTGTGCGCATCGCAGCCGAATTCCACTCGGCGTATTAATTAAACCGCACGACAAGCGCAATAATGTCAGCGCATTAACAAATGTGCAAGTTCTTCTGGTGCTTAGAATCCACATTGTTGCGGTTTTATGTGTTATTACATTATTTAAGCACCAGCGCGAGATGTCTAACTACACCAGTAAACTGGTTGTTAAATTTTTAAGTAAACCAAATATATGTGTTCTTTGTTTTGTGTTTGTTTTTCTTTTATTTTAATTAAATGAATGAGATTAATATTCAACATGGTTGCTTCTTGCACATTTATCAGCGTAAATAATTAATGTAATTTGAATGTCATCGAAATCCACTGCCGACAGGCATTTTGTATTTTGTAAGCTGCCCTGTTGTTCATGTGAGCTTAACCAAAGATTATTGCGCATAAACACGACATAGTTTCATCCATAGCCGGTTGCATGTCAACGAAAAACTTTTCAACTGCTCTAGACTTGAAATTTAAAGGCCGAAACTAAATTTGTGCAAAACAAGTTGTAGCAATGAGTAAAATGGGTCATAAACTGACATTAGTATCAAAAGTTTTTGTCCTGGAGGAGGACAAATGGCCCGGGTCGGAGTTCGTCCCATGCCAGGATAATTTATTCGTGATCATGATATGCCACGCTGATTTCTCCTCGGCAGCAAGAAGCCACAAGTCGCTATTAATTTTAGGTATCAATCACGAGTGCTGCGCAGCGACTTGCGTCAGTTGGCATGCCGGAATGTCAGACGGTAAACGATGCAAAACCTAACCTAGATGATGAAACATCAAACTAGTTGATATACTTGATCAAAACCGCAAAACAAAAACACAAATAACTATCAAAATATAATCTTCAAAACGAATTCTAAGCCAATTTATTTCAGATTAGCAAAAAATAGTTTGACATTAATATAGGCAACCCACATTACTCATACAACAGATACGTATTGCATAATAAGTTGCCAAATGGTAACTTGGGTCATATAGTAAAATAAATATTATCTTCAATGTCTTCCTCGTCGCAGGAAGTACTCGCAAATGCAATAGAAAGTGTTTTAATCGCCACTTTACACGCAAGTGTGCACTTGCGCACACAATTAGCACGCATCGCAAATATTCTACGAAACGTGTTGAATTAAGTTATAACCTGTCACTATATTACTATAACATGATCGTGACATTAAAAACTCGCAATTGTTAATTAAATTAAACAACACGCGACGAAATTGTCGGTGGATTTGAATAATATTACAAATAAACAATTATGACATAATTATGTCATAAATCGAAAGTAAACCTTCGCGAATGCATTTTTTACATAATATTTTATGCCTGCAAATAGATTAATTGGTTATTATACTACGGATTAAAATAAACAATCGCCTGTCACGAAAAAAATGCAAGTTGTATTAAAAATGCTCTAGAAATATTGCGACATGTCGCTTAAGCTAAATTTTAAATCATTTTTACTTTTACAACTGCGTCATTGTGTTGTTTATGCGTGTAAATGCACGTCGTTGGTCACAAATTAGAGCGAGGTGGACCGTCGAGTGAATTTTGTGATTGTGCGCTCTCGATCGATAGGCCAATTAATCCCATCGCCGCATTGATCCAATTAACGCCTGATAAACTAATACTTTGCCAATCAATCCACACCGAAAAAAATTGCGACACTTTTTCGTCATTTCACAAGCTGTACAAACGTTTAAAACACTATGATTAAATTTATGAGCGTTTTTTCAAACATAATTGATGCTTAAATTACTTATTTAAGTTTTATGTTTAAATAAATTGAAAAAAAAAACGTTTTTTAAGTTTTACATTTCAACATTTTTCTATTTCGTGATGAAATATTAATTTATTTAGTCAATATCTTAAGTAAAAACATAAACATCTGCTGGATAAAAAGTAAAACTTAATTTTCTCAAAACAACGTAAATTTATTACCACATGAAAATATTATAACATCACTCGAGAGATTCGGTAATAATATTCGTAAATATGTAGGTATATGCAAAATATAAGTGCGTGGTCAACGAAAGCGTAACCAAGTCGATTACCGAAAAAGTAAAAACCCATAATAGAGTTACGAGTAACAAGTAACTAGTATCCAAGTAGCGGTCATCCACATTCATCGACGGTTGACTTATCGCAAAGTAGGTAACTGTGCTGACCCGCTGACGATTATGTCGTCCATTCGCGGATTATTTTTTCAAGCGACTGCAGCAATAACTGCTATTTATGGTAACATGGAAGCGAACTGAGTTTTAATGGTTTTTATCGAATGGGAAATGAAAACCGCATGTTGTTAATTTGCCAGCAATTTTTTCATTCACTGCACTTTCAATCGTATTGCAAATTTAGATCAATTATCGATTGTGTTAGAGTTGTTTGGTATTAAGAAACTAGATTTTTAGGAAAGTACTTTTTGAATGACAGAATAAGTAGCGGATTTGATGAAATATGCAAATTTTCTATTGCAAAACTGTAAAAATGCAAAAATTAAATTTAAATTTAAAAAAATTATTATATAAACACTTTAAATCACATTTGCATAGATTACGTGTAGTGTTTTTCAATGTTTCCTAACCTTACTCATAGACTAGTAACAGTAAATTATAAACGCAGCAAAGCATATCGAAAACATCTAAAAATCAATCTCTTGCAGTCAGCTCCATCAAAAAACAATTAAAATTCCAACTGAATACCTATCTACGCTGTGCAATAGCGTAATATCAGAGTAATTCCGACAAAATATCAATTTTGCTCATTTCTCTTATAACACTCTCGTCTAGGTCTAGACTCACGCGGAATGCGAAGAATTTCCGCGCTCATACTTCCGGAATTCGAAATTCAAACTCATATTACCAGCAACCTGGGTAATTTAAACCACCATTTCAATATTATGTGCACTCTGCACTATTTATCTCTCCAACAAAAATCGCAGTTTATGTTTTACGAGTAGCAGTCGTACTTGTGCCAGTCATACATGTGGAACACTTCATACTGGCGGGGCCTTTCCGAATCGTATTACGCAATTTAATAGAACTTTCTTAATGCGTATGCGAAGTTATCGTCGAAATAACACACGAGTACGACATGTGGGTATTACGGGCTTGCCTCTTGATGTTTTTGTAAAGCGGAGTAAAATTGATGGTTGTGAGTGAAACGGAAACCGCTAAAACAAATGAACAAATGACCGAATGACAAATTTAGCGCACAATGCACTTCGGAATGACTTGGCCCACTTGACAAATTACTTTCGCATTTGGAAATCACGACGATCATAAATTTTCGTATTGCAAAAATGTTAAAAACGTCGATAAATCTTAAACTTGCGAAATTTTTTCGGAAATGCTTTTAATATGTCATTAAAATGTTTGTTAGTAGTTTATTCAGTTAAATAATGCAAATGCGTTGATGATATTTTTAATCTAATACTATTAGAAAGTCATTAGATAATCGTTGGTATACAATTTCGAATTTTGCGTTTACGAACAAAACGTTGCGAATGTAAATTTTAATTTTAATTAGATGAATAATTACATTAATTTATTTGAATATATAATTAATTACGTTGTATGTATGAATAAACCGCTAAATGGATATACTTGTCAACAAGTTTTACAATGTTTACAATAACAGTTATTCTTTGTTCTTTTGACATGATTGTTGTTTATAATCGATCACAGCATGGTGCCTGCGCAATAATAGTTATTGAGAATCATTTGCCAATCAAGTAGCAAAAAACAATTAAATAAATCTTTTGTAAATGAAAAGCAAAAAGTGGAAAATTATTGAAAACAGCTGCTGGATAAAGTATTGAGGTAGTAAAGTTATGTTTAGTTAAACAGATGGCATAATTAATGTGCAAACCTCCTGAGTCAGTGAGTTGTTTTGCTTAATAATAAATCAACCGTGGGCCGTGACAGTCACCCGGTGTTTAAAAATCACTTTCTAATGAAATACATTTTTCTGATTCAATCACTGCCTTCGGGAATCTATCAAAACTCTCGATATTTAGCTACGTGCAAATAAAGTGTGTTATTACTTGCAAATATAAAGTTAACTAAATACAATTTTTCAAGTTTTATCTATATATATATATATAAATGAATTGCTGTTCGTTAGTCTCGCTAAAACTCGAGAACGGCTGAACGGATTTATCTTATCTTGGTCTTGAATTATTCGTGGAGGTCTAGGGAAGGTTTAAAAGGTGAGAAAAATTCGAATAATTGCCGGGAAAATCCTCAAAACAGCTCTTTTCTATAGAATAAAATTTGACATTGGGATTCAATCATAGTTATAGTTAAATAGTTGAATTCGAGATGGCGCGCTGAAGTGCATTATTGACAAAACTTTATATAATTAATTTCTTTAAATTAAAATTGCTAATCTTATTGATAGAATTGACTCTTACTACGAGTATGTCTAGAACAAGAGAGTAAAAACGAATTACATTTTTATTAAACACTGCCGGAACGAAGTCGCGGGCAACAGCTAGTGTTTTATAAAAATTTATAATTGCATAAGTGTCGAATGGATGTAATTGATCTGTGATTCTGCATTAAAAAACATCTTACGTAATTAATTTAACAAGGAAATATAAATTTTATACTTCTTCGTTGGTTTATTGTGCAGTTGCTCGTCTTGATTGCCAATGTCATTGAAAAAACGTGATCCCGCCAGACACGACCTTGATTCGTCACGTCTAGTAATTTACTTTTTCTTTCTACACATTACATGTACCTATTTTATAGAAAACCATCTTGAACATGCATAAAAACGTTTTTGTTAAGTTGTGAACATTAGTACGCACGTTAATAATAATTATTAATTATTTTTGATGTTTCCAAACATTTTTGTGTTCAACGTGAAAGCAATGAAAGCATTTAATTTAATACAAAAGAAAGCAAATTGCCGAAAAGAACATTCGGTTCATTATGCTCATTAAATTTGATTTGATTTAATTAAACAATCGTTTCTTTTTTCGTCTGTGAATTTATTATATTCCAAACTCACGATTCTCTGTGTTCATAATAATAATTTACGCAAATCGCTGAGATATCATCATGCGATATACAAACAATGTTACTGCAACTTGTCTTGTATGGTTAAGTTAACTCGATTGTTACAGTTCACAATTCGGTTGAAATTGACTTTCATTTTTTGGGCAATTTGATGAAAGTTCCTCGGTCGCGTACTTTCGTTAAC